TGTGTTTGTCTTAATGTCATTCTAATTATTCTTGCAGCACAACCTTATCAAATAGGTTACCACACATTCAGGTAGCGCTCTCTAAAGGTTCTCTGAAAATGTATATGGTAAAAAATGTCCACATTCTGTAGTTTATCATGAAGAAATCACATTCAGAGATCCCTTAGGGAAAAAACCTCTTTGAATGTTTATAAGAAGTGTATTCTATCAGTTTAGCTCCTGTTTCTAAATGACAAAAGTGTCTGCCTGTATTATTTCTAAGAAAATATCAGGCGTTTATAGATTCATACTGAAATGACAGAAAATGTTATATTGCAGAACAAATGAAGACATCAGTAAAGAAATTGGAAGTTTCACATCCGCCCCATCTATTTACAATGTTCAAATGAAGGCTACTGTATGTGTACTGTCCCAAACAGTTCATATCTTGCTTGTGTTGTTTTAAATGCAATAACAGTATGATGATGTTTTGTTATAAGACTAATCAATTGTGATGTGAATCAATAAATAATGACTAGTGTTGGGTTAACATTACTAAGGTGCAATATACTGAGTAAAATGATTGGCATAGTACATGTCACAGAGCAACGTTCATGCTGCTGATGAAGAATGATACATAATAACTAAAGTAAACCATTGACAGACAAATGAAAACCACAAGATCACCTAGAGTTTATTTTAGCATCATGACAGTTGTTACTGACCACTAAAATCAAAAGGAAAAGTAGTGGAATGAATTAGGTCAATACAATCATCATGAAATATGACATGTTCTGTAAAAGTGATGCTGTTGATAAATGCACTTGCAGCTTCTTGTACGTGATAGACAGAAATAAAGAATCTTAAAATGAATAATGGTGACCTCAGGCCCTTTCTGTAAATGCAACCGAAGACAGAGAAGAAGCACAGCAGTGACGAACAAGACATCTTTGAGGGGGTATGTATCTTTCCTCTCCGTCCATCTTTTTTTCTAGATTTATATTTAAGATAAAAATGCAGATGCACATGAATGAGTTCAGAGGCCAACTAATGTATTAGCAATTTAAACATAATAGTTAAACATAGCTCTGCACATTCAACAAATTAATAATATGATGCTTATTTATTTTTTACCAGATTTGATAAACTATAGCTGGCATGACAAATAGTGCAACCATTCCTGTTTGTCCAGTTGAAAAAAAGACATCAGACAAAGATTGTGTGTAATGATGTCAGCTTTACAAACACAATCCCATTCACCACCCCTGTACTTGGCAAAAAGCAGAAATCTCCGATGCAGGTCTTAAACTTAAAGCCTAGAAAACTTAAGCAAAACAATCTGCATTACAATAATATAATGAGGTATAAGTCTTTATGTGTAATTATAAAGCGCCCTCTGGTGGCTCAAAGGTAAACTGCAGAACTTGAGCTGAGTTGATTAAGGGCATACAAGTGCTGTTGACACTTTTCCCAAACATAATCTTTTTTAAATGATATAACATACATTGTATTTCATCAAAGTCTATAGTGACTCACCAATTTGCGTGTCATGTCCAGCACCAGGTCTCTTTGCCGATGGTGTAATGTCCACGGGCGTAGTGATCAGCTGCCCAAGGTGGAACAGCTGCAGGTCACCATTATTTCAAGAAAATATGAAGATTTATTATTAATTAAGAAGATTGTGTTTGATTTTCATAAGTATACGAGTCCTCCGTTGCTTCTTAAATGTGCTCAGGCGGTGAATAAGATTCACTGAATCTGATTGGTGGAAGGTCAAATGAAGTCTTTCACTAGTGGCTAACAAGAACACAGCTCTATTGAGCCTTCTATTCCCATAGCACTCAGTAGTAATGATTTTATGTGCTTTTTTAAGGATAAAATTGTTACTCTTAGAAACAAAATTAATGACCTCTTGCCTTTGACCAGTATAGTGTTATCAACAGCTCCCGGAAACATAAGTTCTAATATTACACTATATAGTAAATTAGAATGCTTTTCAGCCATAAACCTTGAACAATTGAATTGAATGATTCTTTCTTCTAAAGTTAACCATCAACGTGTATCTTAGACCCGATTCCAACTAAGCTGTTAAAGGACGTTTTTCCATTAATTAACACTTCTTTATTAAATATTATGAATATGTCTTTATTATCAGGCTATGTTCCACAATCATTCAAAGTAGCAGTGATAAAACCTCTTCTTAAAAAGCACAACCTTGATCCAGAGGTTTTAGCCAATTATAGACCTATTTCGAATCTATCGTTCCTCTCAAAAATTCTTGAAAAAGCAGTCGTAAAACAGTTGTGTGATTACTTAAAAAACAATGATTTATTTGAAGATTTTCAGTGTGGCTTTAGAACACATCATAGCACAGAGACGGCTCTGGTTAAAGTCACAAATTACCTTCTCATAGCCTCAGACAAAGGACTTGTCTCTATTCTTGTCTTGCTCGATCTCAGTGCTGCATTTGATACTATCGACCATGATATCCTATTGCAAAGACTAGAGCACTTAGTTGGCATAAAGGGAACTGCTTTAGGCTGGTTTAGGTCCTATCTATCTGAACGCTCTCAGTTTGTGTGTGTCAACGGTGAATCTTCCATGCAAACCAAAGTGAGCCATGGAGTGCCACAGGGCTCAGTGCTTGGACCTATTTTGTTCACATTATATATGCTTCCGTTGGGCAATATTATAAGGAATCATTCTGTACATTTCCATTGTTATACGGATGATACTCAACTATATTTATCCATCAAGCCTGATGAATCCAATCATCTAAATTAAATTCAAGACTGCCTCAAGGACTTAAAAACGTGGATGACCTTACATTTCTTTTATGTTAAACAAGGCCAAAACTGAAGTTATTGTACTAATAAGAATCTACGAAACTATTTTCTATCTTTTAACGCCCACATAAAATCAATCTCAAGGGCCGCCTTCTTTCATCTACGTAACATTGCAAAAATCAGGCATATCTTGCCTCAAAACGATGCAGAGAAACTAGTCCATGCATTTGTTACTTCAAGGCTGGATTATTGTAACTCTTTATTATCAGGGTGTACCAAGAAGTCAGTTATGTCGCTTCAGCTAATTCAAAATGCTGCAGCACGTGTACTAACCAGAGTTCGGAAAAGGGACCACATTACTCCTGTTCTGGCTGCCTTACACTGGCTCCCTATAGAACACAGGATAGAATTTAAAATTCTTCTTCTCGCCTACAAAGCCCTTAATGGGCAGGCGCCATCTTACCTTAAAGAACTCATTATACCTTACTGTCCAGGGCATTGCATTCCAAGAATGCACAGTTGTTGGTTGTTCCTAGAGTCTCTAAAAGTACAATGGGAGCCAGAGCCTTTTCTTATCAAGCTCCACTTTTGTGGAATCAGCTTCCAGTTTGTGTTCAGGCGGCAGACAGCCTATCCGTTTTTAAGACCTTCCTTTTTGATAAAGCTTATAGTTGATAAAATAATCTAATAAGAGTGCATTGACGTAGACACGTTGTGCCTCTTCACCTATACATCTTAGTTCTTACTCTTTTTCCTTACTGATGGTATGTAATTTGTGTGTGTAGACGGTGGAAGCAGGGAGAGGCATATACGTGCCTTGATCCCTGCCGAGTCGACGCACAACTGTTGATTGGTGTCAGTGCCAGAAACACTTTTAGGAGCAATGCGCTCATGGTATAGATGTGGTGCATATATCTTAGTTCCTACTCTTTTCCCTCACCCTATCCTAAGGGAGTGCATGTACGTAGACACGTTGTGCCTCTCCACCTCTGTTCCTTACTTGCTACACCTTTCCCTCAATCTATCCTAAGGGAGTGCATGTACGTAGACACGTTGTGCCTCTCCACCTCTGTTCCTTACTTGCTACCCCTTTCCCTCAACCTATCCTAAGGGAGTCCATGTATGGAGACACGTTAGTTTAGCTGCTAGAGTCTGTCGGGGACACCTTACTTCTTTCTTCTCTCTGTCTGTACCTGTGTACTCTCATGTTCCGAATAACTCAGCTTCCCCCAAATTCCTTTTTGGTGTCTATCTACGCCCTGATCCTGTTGCTGCGGTCCTGTGTCCTGGATCCTGAATCATGTGTCCTGGATCCTGCATCCTGAGTCCTGGATCCTTAGTCCTGAGTCCTGGATCCTCTATTCTGAGTCCTGGACTTCGAGTCGTGGCTGAACCTATATCACAGATCGTTGATCTCAATGGGATTTTTTAACCTGATCAAATAAAGGCTACAAACAAACAAACTGTGGTCCTGCCTGACTCTCATCATACTACTTCCCTGATGGCTCCCACAGGATTGTTGACATCCTCATGGATTCATCCTTTTATTATTGACACATGCATTTCCAAACATTTGGTCTACCTATGCTGTAAAATGTATTATCTCTTCGATTTACACACGGCATCTATTGCACGTCTGTCCGTCCTGGGAGAGGGATCCCTCCTCTGTTGCTCTCCCTGAGGTTTCTCTCATGTCCCCCTTTAAACTGTGGGTTTTTCTCCGGATGTTTTTCCTTGTACGATGTGAGGGTCTAAGGACAGAGGGTGTCGTAATGTCATACTGATATTCTGTACAAACTGTGAAGTCCACTGAAACAAATGCAAGATTTGTGATATTGGGCTATATAAAAAAACATTGATTGATTGATTGATAATAAGTGTTATCACATTTCTCGGTTAGAATGGAAACATTAAATATTAGAAATAAAGAGTTAAAATATAAGGCTATGCTGAAGCCATTTACTTGAATTCCCTTTTGACTTTGATTTACTTACCTCTCTTTATCAGTTAGTTTAGTTAAATTAAACATATAGCTGTACTAGGCCCCTACAGCCTGTATGTATGTAATGTGGGGAGTGGGGACCATAACATCAGTGAGGCTCTTGATGGTATCACTTTCACAAGCTTCTCCATTTCACACAAAAAGTCTCCTAAAAAGACAGCTGCTTCTCACCGAATCCTGAACTCATTAATAACCATTTTACTGTATAAAAAAAGAGAAACTTCAGACATTCACAATATTTAAACATTTTATAAAATGCAACACTGCATTCGATGAATTATTTTGCGGATACGACACTGAAATACATTTGTCATGCCAGAGCTTCTGTTTTATTATTCACATTTACAGAACTCAATGTGTGAGTACAGCGTTTATACAGCAAGCCCACTTCTCCATACAGCAAACAGACATATAACACATCTCCTCACACTATGCAGATGAAGCCATGATAAAGCATGGGCCACTAGCACACTTGGCATTACGCTCAGTCACTCAGGGTTCAGGAACAAGTTGATGGACTGTTGATGTTGAATTATGTGACAAACAACACATGTATTAGTGTTACTGGAGTGGTGTAGACCTGAAAGGGGGCAGCTGGAAGAAGAGAACTGGGTCAATTCAGGATTGTCTGTAGCGAATTCGAAATCTGAATCTAAACACAATAACCATCTCTTCATCGATCAATTACTTATGCCCATTACTGATTTTATTTATTTGAATTTGGACTGTGTATTTGTTTCGCTGCACAAATGAAGGTGATGTTTGTGGTGATAGAAAATAGAAATATGATCACTAGTTGAGTGATGGAACTGTGTCTGCAGCACCGTGTTGGTCCTGAGTTAAAGTGGGGTTTGTTTGTCACAGCATCAAAGAAAGAACTGCAACGTAAGATGACGAGAGACATATTAAGAAAATGTTATAAATATTGAGTGTTCACTTTGTCTAGTGAGGTCTACAAAGCCTGTAAGATGGTTTGGGCGAGTGTTTTTGGTGTGGAGTGTCTGAATTTCATTAAAAGACAGGTTTCCTTTGATTAAGAAAATACTGCTTGCACGTGTTTTGCCATGTGGTCAAGTGAAATCATAGAAAAATAAAAGGTCAAGTGCCAGAAGTCAGAAAAAAAAACTCTGAAGTGAGGAACAACTTATAATAAATGCTTAAAAAAAAGGTTATACATACTGTAACGACTTAAAAATAGCACAAATTAAATAGTATCTTTCTGTCTCTGTGGAGCCGATTCTTGCCCGCCTCACCGCTGTGGAACAACTTTTTTCATATTTCTAAATGCGGCAATACGTATAGTAATATAATAGATTTACATTTGTAAGCTTGGATCACACTCTACAGATGTTGTGCAGACACAGCTTCTCAATTTGGCAACCTTTTTTGGTAAAGCAAAATACTGTTTGTTGCCCATTTCAATCACAATAGCATGAGCCGTTCATTTCAAGGACAATCAGATTACCAAAAATACAAACTCTGCGTAAATATTTGGATCTTGAAATCTCATATTACAAACTGGATAACCCATAACACTCCCGCATACAGAATCTGAACAGATCACACTGAATGAAAAAACATGTAATGATGTTCATGAAATTCAATTCATGACAATTTGTGAGCCGTCAATTTATGTTCATCTTGGCTTTAATACGCTGGATTTGTTCGGACTGGCCTGTGTAGTTAATACTGAGAATCTACACCTTTTTTATATTTTTCCTTGAGGGGAAAAAGGGATTCTTTATATTCATTCATTTCTGAAAGCAGCAAATCAATTGATTATCTCACTCCCCACCTCAACAATTATGCGAGGTCTTAGGGAGTAATAGGATTAAAACATTGTTAAATCTATATTCATCTTTGGTGGTTAGACTATAGCAAGATAAAACACGTAGCACATTTTTCTGCGTCAGTGTTTTTATCATGCAAGGGGATCAAATTGGGATAAAAAAAAAACTATAATAAATTGATAACAATTTACTTACATAAACCTGTAATGTCTCACCATTACAGATGATTTTTCAGTTACCATAGTGTCATACAGACCAGCGCCATTTAAGAACTCATGGCTGCAATGAATACTTAAACATAAGTTAGTGTTATTATCTTCAAATAAATACACAGCTGTCAGTTAACGGCGGTAAAACCAAGTTAGGACAATGAATGAGCAAAAGGATGAGAGGAGGAGGGTAGGGGTCAGGGTGGAGTGGTTTAAGAGATTTTTCGCATTTGGAGTGCTAGTGTTTTGTTGCATGTGTGTGTGTGTGCACATGGAAATATGTGTGTCAGTTTGGTGCCCATTGCTTGCTGGGGAGGGGGGGGGGGGGTTATGGCCGCGGGAAGAAGACAGAGCACCAGGCTCGTTTGTTCTCTGCTCTTTGTGTCACAAGTCCAGCTGTTAGCCAGAGGTCAGCGGAGTGAGAGAGGAGTGAGAGAGGAGTGAGACATTACGCCAGGGAGCGCTGACGAGGCTTGATCCGGGGATAGAGCTGCAGGAAAACAGACAAAACGAGGAGACATGTTAAACGTGACGAAGTTGACTTGCTCACATTTGTTATTATGACATTCCAGCAGAGGGCGCAATGCCATTATTCCCTTCAATAGTGTTTTTATTTGTCAGACCGTTAATAGATGTTTTATCTTCACAGTCATCTGTATATTTTTCTTACTCGCTAATGCTGGTTTATTTCTATTTCTATTTTGAGATGTTTCTATTTTAGAATTGTTTATTTCTACTCTTTTAATTTGTTATTATGTTTTGTTTTATGCTGCTGCAATAATAACATCTCCCAAATTGGGATGAATAAAGTACATCTTATCTTATTTACACTTAATCCCTAAGGTTCACTTAACATTAGGTCTTGTAGAAAGAAATTACAAGAACATGAGAAATATTGAAGTGGATTAAATACCATTTAACTAAGCTAGTTCGGGTCTGAACATCTGATGCCATTTTCTGATGAGAGTGGTAGTGAAAGAGGACTCAATCTAATTCCCAAATCATGGCCCTAAAAAAAGCTAAATATGTAAAAGTCTGACATATAGTCTGAAAACTTGAAAATAAACAAAAACACACTAAAGCTTAAAACTAAACCTAAATGAAATACAAAAAACGAACATAACATTTAAAAAAGAAAAATCTGAAAATCCCAACCATCATAACCTTGCTGGTGGGCAGATGCACAGTGGACAGATATGACAGTTTATGTTTACCCCTAGCAGGTTGCGTGGCACGTAGCCCTCGGTGTCTTCGAGTCTCGCCCACCACCAGTCTGTCTCGCTGTCGTCCTGCCGCCGCAGGATGGTGATGGCGTCTCCTTCGCTGAACGCCAGCTCGTCCGGATTCTGAGTTTTGTAATCCCACAGAGCGTACACCGTGCCCTTGTTCATTACGCCCAGCTTCTCCTGAACTCCTGCTCAAGAGAATCCAAAACAGAGAAACATTACACCAATATCCTTTAAGGTAAAGTAATCCCATTCGGTTAAAACCACAGCACTATTTCTAATCACACCAGGCTGTCTTACAAACCTTAATACATTTTGGACAGAAGTGAATACATCCTTTCAGAATGTGTGGGTTGTTTCTCACCGTATAGAAACTGGGAGCATTGGATGAAGCCCTCTTCCATTTCCTCGCATTTATCTGCAGCAGTCTCCACATCGCTGATGGTGCTGGCAAAGATGGCGGCCCCTGATTCCACCAGCACCTTGCAGAGATGAACGCTGTTGCAGGAGGCGGCACAGTGGAGTGGAGTCCTGTTCAAGGTAAACAAACATTATATATTAATGAAAAAATGAATACAACAGACAAATCAAACCACTAAATGTCTTCATATAAACCTCAATATGTCCAAAACTCAGCTTCAATAAGTCCAAAACTCAGCTTCAATATGTCCAAAACTCAGCTTCAATATGTCCAAAACTCAGCTTCAATAAGTCCAAAACTCAGCTTCAATATGTCCAAAACTCAGCTTCAATATGTCCAAAACTCAGCTTCAGTATGTCCAAAACTCAGCTTCAATATGTCCAAAACTCAGCTTCAGTATGTCCACAACTCAGCTTCAATATGTCCAAAACTCAGCTTCAATATGTCCAAAACTCAGCTTCAGTATGTCCAAAACTCAGCTTCAGTATGTCCAAAACTCAGCTTCAATATGTCCAAAACTCAGCTTCAATATGTCCAAAACTCCGCTTCAATATGTCCAAAACTCCGCTTCAGTATGTCCAAAACTCAGCTTCAATATGTCCAAAACTCAGCTTCAATATGTCCAAAACTCAGCTTCAATATGTCCAAAACTCAGCTTCAGTATATCCACAACTCAGCTTCAATATGTCCAAAACTCAGCTTCAGTATGTCCAAAACTCAGCTTCAATATGTCCAAAACTCAGCTTCAATATGTCCAAAACTCCGCTTCAGTATGTCCAAAACTCAGCTTCAATATGTCCAAAACTCAGCTTCAATATGTCCAAAACTCAGCTTCAATATGTCCAAAACTCAGCTTCAATATGTCCAAAACTCAGCTTCAATATGTGCAAAACTCCGCTTCAGTATGTCCAAAACTCAGCTTCAATATGTCCAAAACTCAGCTTCAATATGTCCAAAACTCAGCTTCAATATGTCCAAAACTCAGCTGCTCACCTCCACCCGACCAAACACCGCATTGACTTACTTATCTTACTATTCACTTTCAAAGCTCTCAACAACCTTGCCCCCCCCCCCACCTCTGTGACCCCATCCAACGACACACCCCCACCCGTCGCCTCAGGTCTCACGTCATTCCAAAAATCCCTCAAAACTCACCTTTTCACTCTTGCCTTCAACCCCTAATCCACTAACCCCTCGCCCTTATCCACCTAGCTTACCGCTTTTTACTAATGTTGTTATTTTTCTTCTTTACTTGCTTTCAAAGCGCTTTGAGCACCAGGAAAGTATTATTATTATTATTATTCATAATGTGTGCCTTCATCACTCACCATCCGTCGCTGTCTGCAGCGTTGACGTTCACCCCAAAGTCCAGCAGGAACTTGACTATGTGGTGGTGTCCCGCACACACGGCGTTGTGCAGGGGGGTGATGCCCTCGTCATTGGCCGTGCTCGGGTTCTCCACCTGGAAATGAATGAAAAGGCCCAGATGAAAAGATGAGTGCTAAGGCGCAAATGCGTGGGAATTAAAATAATTTAAAAGCATACTCACACAGTCGTGACATACCTCATAGATAATCCTCTGGACGAGGTCAAACTCCCCCTCCAGCGAGGCGTCCAGCAGCAGAGCCAGAGGGTTGAACTTCACCCTGAAGCCGTGGCCCGTCCGCTCAGAGTCCGGCTTCTTCAGGTTCGTACGCTTCTCCTGATCAGAGAGGAGGCCAGGTTATGGCTTTCGCATGTCTGTACATCTTTGTATGGTTTTTTTATATATATATATATATATATATATATATATATATATATATATATATATATATAAAGGCTTTTGTGGGTGTTAAGAAAAGCACTTTATAAATGATCAATAATATTGTTATTTTCTTTTTTTATTGAAATGGTGGCTAAATTGGGTAATCAAGACATCACCATGAAATGACCACAGTTGATAATTCAAAACATATTTTCTGTATTGCAAGTTTTCTAAAATGTTATGTTTAAAATGCAAATTAAGAATGATCTTCATTCAACTTTTTGAGCCTTTAGAATAAATCTGCAGATCCAAAAAGACACAGTGCAGTAAAATAAACACCCCGTTGTGTGTTTTTGTAGTTTTTTAAACACCAATACTAGAGTCAGGGTAAAGTCCTTGTTTGTTCTTATGGTGGTAAATTAAAACTATTTTAACCACAAAAAAACTCAAAATAAATACAATGCTTTTTAGCTTTGAAAAGCAAACGTGTGTAAATATGCAAATGACGCATACTCTTAGCCTTGTTTCTGGTCAATTAAAGAGAAATCCAAGAAATGTTTGTAAAATAAACACTTTATTTTTTTCTTATTTTTCAGTCGGTAAGAAGACAGCAAAATAGCTCAATTGTGGGAAAAACACTGTATGTGCATGTAGTGTCTCATAATAAGTGTGTGTGTGTTTCTCACCAGAGTGTGTGAGCTGGCGGAGCCGCTCTCCTCTGGAGTGCTGACCTCCAGCAGGGGGCTGGGCAGCGACGCCTCAGAGCCCCCCATGTTGTTGTTGTTGTCGTCCTCTGCCTCCTCGTCTTCAGCGGGATCCAGCTCTGGTGGCGCGGGCAGCGACTCGTTGGCGTTGGCGTCACTCGGTGATGTCAGACCGCCCAGCTCCTCGGCCCCCGGTGGAGGAGGAAGCGGCAGCTCAGAGAGGAGGTTTCCATTGTCTGTATCCGCCCCCGAGTCGCCTCCCAGATACGCAGGAGGGTTCGCCGGCTGATAAAATGGCGTTCCGTTACCTGCACCGTTGCCTCCTCCCGACCCGCTGACTCCATTGCCCTCGATGCCCCCTGCCAGGGTGTTGAACCTCTGGTAGAGCAGCTTCTGGATGTTGGGGCCGCTGGGGCCCTCCGGCTCTGTGATGGAGCTGCGCTTCTTCAGCGGCCTCGGAGCGTTCGCCAGCTTCTTACGTAGCACCTCGAGATCCGAGTCGCTCTGGTAGCGCAGCGGGGAGTGAACCATGGGGGTGAGCTTGGTGGGGCTGAGCGGCCGTGGGATGTTCTCCACGCTGGGGGGAGGGGCTAAGGGCTCTGGGTGCTGGTAGAACTCCTGATCATCCATTTCTCCGTCCATAGAGTCCTCACCAACGAGATGGCCTTGGAGCAACGGGAAGGCCCCTCCGGCCTGGGTGAAAGGCAGAGGCGAGGGGGGGGGTCGAGCTGGGGTGGAGGACAGGCTTCCCATATACTACAGACAGAGAGAGAGAGGGGGATAACATTGGAGGGAATTTACATCATCATTATTTATTTATTCACCTGGTAGTTACCTTTTTCATTCATAGTAAGTAGCCTAAAACACTAAAGTTACAATTGCACATCACTTGTATCGAAATGTCTGTATCACAGTGCAAGATTAAATTGATATAAATAAATAAAAAGTTAATAAATATATATAATATATATAATAAATAAAGTTATTCTTTAAGTGCTAAATAACAATTAAGTGTATGATAATGTTGTATCTTTTATGAAAAGTCTCATTGGTTGAACTTTAGTTTCTCATGTATATCTTTATATCTGTATCACAATATGGAACAGTAGGCCCGACTGATTGATTCAGCATTTTACCCAAGAGTATTCATAGTTTTACTCGAGTAAAAATGTGAGTACAGCACCATCTGTTCAGATCTCTCACCTGCTTTGAGCGCCGGTTTGAGCGGCTGGCTCTTTGGCGCTGCCTGCTGGAGGTACATGTGATAGATGGAGCTGGAGTTCATGGTAGGCGGACCCTTTCGGGGCGACTGCGGCCGTGACCCTCTGTCCGGGATGAAGGGGCGCACTGCCACAGCTGGGGGGGGGTCCAGCCGCTCGCTCAGCCCGGGGGGGAAGAGCGGGGCGTTCTGCTGGAAGGTGGGACTCGGCGGCACCGAGATCCGCTGCTGGATCTGCTGCGAGGACGAGCCGGTGGTGGCGGGGGTGCGGGGCCAAGCCGGAGCTGGAGCTGGGGGGTTTAGGAGGGGGCGAGGAGGAGGAGGAACTTCCTTGCGTCGATCCAAGGTGGTGGCCGAGTTTGCTGAGATGAGGTGGGAGCCATAGGGAGGCGGCTGTGGCTTTGATATGGCGGGGGAGGACACAACCATTTTGGAGTCTAGCACCTGTGAAGGAGCATGAAATACAACATCCATCACTACACTCTTTTGAAATGAATAAAGAAGAATCTTATAGACGTGACCTTAGATCAGGAGGTAGATAACAAAAACAATAGACAGATAGGAGAAGGAGGACAAACCTTGTCTGCACTCGGAGTGACGGGGGAGCCTGAGGGAGGGCTCTTGCCCTGGGTGTCAGTCCCTGAGTTTCGTCTCTCAGGAGGCTTCAGAGTTGAGTTTGACTTGCCTAAAGTAGGCCAACCAGCTTCACTCGCTAGGGCACAAACAGGACACAGTGAGTATGTTGTAAAAGAGCCAAACAGGCTATTAATGGACGTGATATGAGAAGCACAAGCCTCTTTTACAAACCAGATCCAGGTCCAAATGGTAACAATTGATGATCTTTCACACTAGAAATGTGTGACTGTGTGATTAACCACATCATGTGGAACATTTGTGATTGTATAACAAGAATAGAAAAAGTTTAAGACTCGACACATAAAGCATCTCTACCATTTTGACCCAGACTTGGTGTTAAATGGAGGGTTCAGGATTTTGAGAAGCTTATCCTATTAACCAGACACCAATAGGAGACCTTCAAAACTAAATTCCTGTTGCCTTTTTCTAAACAATTGAGCATCGTTGACACATATAAGTCAAAGTATGTCCCTAGAAAAAACAACAATTGCTTAAAGCTTTATTACTTTTACTGCCACTAACTACTTATGGTTGATTTCTTCATTTCTGGCAAAAAGGATTAGCAATTACCCTCCCTTCTTCTGAGAGGTACATTCATCAAGAAGACCGAACACAACATATTTCAAGAAAGGCTTTTGGTCAATAGGAAACAAATCCTGAGCCTTCACAGCAATGATGGTAATGAATTCATCTACATTAGTGGATCGCTTCTCTGGACGTGTATTTAGTGTTTGGATTTAGTTCGATTTGTTAAATGACAACTAAATTGCGATGTAGAGGAAAGGACTGCTTGTACCGTTTATCTCCAAGAATAAACGTATATCTTGAAAAATATATATATGCAGGGTAAAGAAGATGCAAGGATAGGTTGAAAAGAAGTAGGATGGAAATTGGAAGACAAAACAAAAGCAATATTTGTGGGACAATTCTACAGGAATTTGGTTGTATGGAAATGACAATAACCAACTAGTTACAGACCCCAAATGTTTAAAAAGCAGAATATGGCTTTTCAGATTTCCAATATGCTTTTGAGTAACCATGGTTACTCCAAATAAACAAAAAATAAAGATTGAGAAAGCGGCTCTACCTACAATCAAGAGTGCGAAAGGAAACAGCTTGATCTGGGTCTTTGCATTCTATCATGAGTTGTTAATTGACTTCGATGACATTTTAACACGTACAAGTTCATTTCCCTCAACATGTTAAGTGTTTGACAACTAGAAGAGATTCTCACAGCTCAGTTGTTGTGAAGATGTGGATGTTAAGGTTAGGCAGTCTGGGGGATGTTATGAAACTAAAACAAAGCCCAAATATCTGCTCTGCATGTGTGAATATACGAAGCACAGCGCTCACTGAACCTTCTCAGAAGTGTACAGAACACACGCACGCACAGGGATCAGCGGTGACACTTTCCTCATACGAGGCATGATGTCAGCTACGATTAGTGGCCGTCCAATTTCTGCAGCAAAGTGTTTCAAGATGGCTCCCCACCGCTTTGACGTCATTAGCCGATCCGCAGAGGAAACACTCAAATGTCAACATGTGCTCTCTTCAGTTCACTAAAACTGGCTCAATGCTGCTCTGGCAGGAGAGCTTGATGACGCCAAACCAATGTGCTTCCATCAGCCTGCCATTGTTCACGTTAAGCTGGTACAGATGCTCATCTCCTTCAGATTCCACAGCTGTGCAACTTTAATTTGTCTGCCAGAGAAAATCAGCTGCATTACAGTAAAGTGAATCTGAAGGGCTGTACCAAATCTCATTTCCAAACATGTTTTGAAGCTCTGACGTCATATTTTATTATGTCATCACCTCAAAAAAAAATTTGAATCCATTAACAAAATCCTCAAATTGAATAATATCATTATTCAAATTAAATAAAAGCCTTTGTTGTTTTAATCAAATCAACTTTTATTTGATTAATATTAATTGTCAATGCCTTTTTTGACTGTTGTGAAGTGACTTGATTTATGAAGCCAAAAACCAGCCAATATTGATTGAAGCAGAATATTTTTGTTATATTTTGTTTGGAAATATTAGGAGCAATCAATGAATCTAAATGTACAAATACTGAGAATCGACGCAGGTTAATCTGTGTTTGTGACTGAGCAAAACTGGCTTCATCAAAATGAATAGACTTTCAAAATGAAAGTGCTGCTTGAAATTCAGATGTTGGTCTAAAATGTGATGAACATTATGAATGAAGCGTTTAATCTGGCACAGCCATATTTTGTTGTTGAGTATGAAAACATTAGTTGGTGACTTAAGTGTGGGGCGCTCAAGGTGTGATTGGGCAAACTGACTATATTTAAAAGATGACGATGGTGTAAAATCTCCTGTGCATGCCGAGGGTCTCGTGCTACAATGGACAGAGAAGGTTCAGGAGGTGCCCCCCCCCCCCCCCTGCTGTTTATGCAGCACTGAGCACTCACGGGACGTGCCGTCAGAGCCCGTGGAGGCTCCGGGGCCCGACTGTGATTCCTGAAGGGACGGGGGTACCGGGTCCACAACGATGTCTAAATCAGACACTTTCCAAGGACCGGGAGGCTTTCGCACACCGTCTGCCCCAGGAAAGAGTTGACCCCACCCCCAATGAATAAACAGAGACATGACAGAGAAAAGACAAGACAGACAGAGGAGGAGAGAAAAGGAATCACAGTAATCACACCACAGGAAGAGAGGCACGTTAGAGAGGAAGGAAAAGGAAGTCACAGAAATCAAGTGCAGGCGGAGAATTAACAAAGAAGTCAGGTAGGAAGGAAATTAACAGTTTGGGCCCAGCAGGGAATTTCAGTCACAAGGTTTCCATGCAAGACGTGTTAAATGTGTAGAAAGACTTCTGACTCCAGGATCCATCCTTCATCTGGTTTGTCTCACTGACTAAGTCCCTGCTTTCTTCATGAGGAAAAAGGAATAGAAATTCACTAATACTGCATCTTCAATTAAAAAAACTTGGCCTAAAGAAAGCGTATCACTTCGTATCCACTGCTACAGTTGTTGTCTACTATGACGGGCATTTGGGGGAAAAAATGCCTTGCGATTGTAGTTTAATTTGCTTCCACCAACCTGACTTGGTGCGGCCGTGGTTGGCTTGGTTATTGACGCCCAGAGTCTGAGGCTTGAGGGGATCGGGGGGGATGTTGTAGCCTCCTTCCTGTCTGCCCGGGACAGGCACCTGGATGTACGGCCCCACGGCAGCGACGCGGCCCAGAGTACCAGCAGCCGGCTGAGGGGAGGGGGGCCCGTTGGTTCTGTTCAGCTGTAAGAGAGATAGAAAAGATTCAAATATGATGACAGGGAAAACAATCAACATGTAGAGGAGATATAAGAGAAAGAGAAAAGCTCTTAATGGTTTGGGACCGGCCTACATTGCTGACTTGTCGTTTTAATAATCCCTCACAAGCTCTCAGATCTTCTTCTGCTGGGTTTTTAATGCACGGAGTTATACGCACATGAAAATAAGCAGCAAAGCTTCTTTATGCTAGGATCCAAGATTATTGAATAACCCAGCAAGCTGTGAGCTCTTTCAAATGAAAATCAAAACACATTTAATTTGGCTAAATCTGGCTGTAATTTCAATGTGTGTTTTCAATGTTGTATTATTCTTTATTTTGTATTTATATATTAAATAATCTTTGCAAATGTCTATGTCCATTTCCTCTTGTTTATACGTTTTGAATGTCATTTTGAGCTACATCTCTTGTAAGAAAAGACTTGAAATATTATTATAATTATTTTGCTGATTATTATTATATAATGATAATATATTCAATACAATATACGGAAGTTTCTTAGTCAGTTTTCATTAAATAATGGCTTATACAGAGGAGAGAAAAAATGTTATCTTAACGTTTAACAAGTGACATGTAATGTAATGTTTCCGTGAAGACTTGCAAAAGCTTAAAGAAATACAATTTGGTAAACATCTGATGTTCTGCCTTCTCACTGGGACAGGCGTTTGTCAGAAGCATTTTAACAAAGAAAAGAGTCTTAAGGAGGAGAGGTGTTGAGCGCTCTTAGTCTTACAGGAAGGTTTTCTTTTTGACGTGCCTCAGCTTTTTTCTTGTAGAGACGTTCCCGCAGCTCGCTGATGCGTTTGTCCATGAGCGTCACCTCCATGTTGCGTTTGTTCAGGATATCCTTCTGCTGCTTCAGCTTGCTGTTCTGCTCCTGGTTCAACTTGTTCCGGATCTGTGGGTGATAAACACACATACAGATTCATGAGAACACATTTATACTGGAGATATTGCAGTAAAAACCATTCACTTGGATTTATTTAACTTATTCTGTTGCTGCTTTGAAATGTGAAATTCCTTACAGAGATTATTAAAAGTCCATTTTATCTCATGTTTTTCTAAAATGTTTTTATTTGGATTTTTTTTATACAACAATACAAAAATGAAAGATTAAAAAAAAAAACATGCTTCATCTGTATAACATATATAATGCAAGGCAATCATTAAAAAAAAATTATGCATAAAAGAAAAGACCTAACATCACTGCAGTTATTCATGAAAATTAGTATGTCTGAGACATTGCTTACAGCTTAAAATGGGGTTAAATCAAATGTGGTGATGATTCATATTTCTTGTGTTGATGTAAGAGCAGTTAAAACAGACCAGTTACATTTGGGGGGGGAGAAATGAACACGACACAAGGGTTAAGTGGTGTATTAATAGACACCTGGTATGAGCAGCAGCACAAACTTTGTTCAACTTATTTCTCAAAAAACGGTACCTGAAGCTCCTGGTACAGTTTGCGGAGCTCGAGGGCTGCAGCGCCGCTGACCTGGCCCCCCAGAGCGGTCTGAATGCCGTTGAGCTTCCCCCTCCTCAGGTCCTCCAGCTGCAGGCTGAGCTGCTCCACCCTCAGCACCGCAGACTGCAGCTCCCCCTGCTTCTCCTGGAACAGGCCGCTGACCTGCTCTATCTCTGCCGCTGGAGGAGAGGAAGGAAGAAAAGACACATCAGCTCGTTCTACATGTTGGGGGACTCCTTTAAAGTGAAAGGTAATGTTTATTCTCATATCTGGGTGTGATTAGGCTTTCTCTTGAGAGAGAATATCTGAGCTCTGAGCATACATCATAATATTATTATACTAATATTATTAGCTATAAATGTGTACATACTCACATAAAGGGAGCTGTGTCCTCTACTCTGTACTGTAATTGTCTAACAAACTGTTAAGTTCTAATTATAAAAAAAAACTTTAAAGAAAACGAATTTAGCCTGAATGCTTTATTCTAATTAAAGACTTGAGGATTTTTGTGGTGAAAAGTGACAACAGACATTTAAAGATTGGTTAAAAAAGATCAATAGAATCTGAGAAAGGAAAGAAAAATCCCCTTAGTTACAGCCCTTACTGCATAACTGTTTAAAACAAAGTTAGTTCATTTGTAAAAGATTGATAGTATACATACACAGGTTGCCATTGATGACCTTGCTGTAGTCCACCTGGCCTCTCATTGCCCGGATCTTCTTGAGCTTTGCCTCCTGGTTCTCCACGCGATCCTTCAGCTTCTGCAGCTTCTCGCTCTCTGAAACGGTTTGCTGCTGACGCCGCTCCTGCTGCTTCAGGTAGCGCAGACGTTGCTCCTTCAGAGGACAAGACGCACGTTATTATAGGCAATACATTATGTCGAAATGCATCCAACAGTAAAAGACACAAACAGCTAGGCACCAACCCAAAGCTTGGCAGATATCTGTGTGGCAGACACACCCTGAAACTAGGCTAAATCTTTCTACTGGTAGTGAAATGCTGCCGTGTCAAAACTGTCTGAAGGCTGAAGAAAGGGTCAGATGACTTCATCTCTCCACCCAACTGAGAACTGCTCCAGTTAGGGTCTTAAAATAGGAAATGACAGGCCCAGGTTTCCAAATGACTGCAGGGCTTCATGAGGGGCCTACTTTTCAGATACCCCAACAATAGATGAATAAGTCTTGCTATCTGCGGTCTACAGTGGGGGCTTCATCTCGCATGACTAATGTCGACTGATCTGCACTCCATGAGCACCGCGGTGAGACTTATCGCCTGGTAGACTCTGGTGGTGTGGAGGTATTCATTCCATTAAAAAGGTACAATTGCCTTTCTAAAACTGGTCTGAGAAAGGTAGTATTCCTAAGGTTCAACAGCATGCATAAATCACATGCTTGACAAAACACTGCAATGTCTGTGCACGAGTTTCTTTAAAGACTGAACTATGAATTCTGACAAAATGGACAATCCTCCCACAATGATTCATACTGCCTCCCATCTCATTTGTTACACAACGGTTTGCCCCAGTTTCAGGTCACGACGGGACTCTTAGGATGAGAGTAGTGCAACAAGAGTCCATTTTCTCTCAAACAGAAGGATTTGAGACCGTGTTCTGAACTTACGTGGCCTTGGACTAATGCTTAGCCTGTGTCCATGTCCCAGACTACATGACATAATATCAGACTGACCTGCACCTTTACTGCGTTACACAACATGTGAAAGATACCTTGGCTATGATTGGTCCAGCTTCAACATGTAGTCTGCCATGTTTCACAGCCAACTTACTAATAGAACATTTGCAACATCAGAAACCTTTTTAAAAGTCAAAAATAAAGTGTGGCCTCAGGTTGCCAGATAGCTCAGTGGTTAGAGCTGGTGGCCCATAGGCGTACAACGCTGCCTAGTAAGTTGGTACGAACATTCAGGCAATGTCCTCCCCTCTGTCTCCCCCGTTCAACTTTATACATCTCAAATAAAGGCCATCTCGGGACCAAAAAATGAAGAAAAAAAAGAATAATAAAAAAAAACATGAGAACTTAACTTTTACACTTAAGGAGTGGAACATTTAAATGAGATTATTGTCTGGCAGGTACCTTTGCGACGAGCATCTGCTGCTGAGCCTCGATTTGCTGCTGCTGCCGTGTGGCCATCTCCTGCAGCTCCGACAGCGTGAGCTCCACACGCTGATTCCCCACCTACACACACACACACACACACACACACACACACACACACACACACAAGAAAGGGTAATTACCACACTGAACCTAAGCAGGGTGGTCCTGATGTTTACAACCGAGCCATGTAGACTGATTATACATAAGAATTTAAACAGAAAGGGCTACTGCTTCGCTTCTTTTAAACCCCAATACACGTTTTTTATTCATGAGGAGAAAGAATATTAATTAAATAAATATATATATACACGAATCTCGCTCTAGCCAAAACATCATCATTTAGTAGTTTGGTTAAAGTTAAATCTGGGAATAGTTTGATTTCAGAATGAATAATACCTTATACATATATATGATGCCTCTAAGATCTCTAAGGTGAGATCCCATGCAGTGCCATGTTTCATGATGTCATTTATTTACCAACTCAAACACATTTTTTATATAATTGGAAGATGTATGCAGGAAAATACATTCCCCATTCAAAGTTATACGAGCTAAAAACATTACATAACCATTAAGAAACAGGATACACAAAAAGAAGCCATTTGCAGAAATGTTTTTAAAAAGATGCCTATTTCATCAGCCGGAGACTCAGCTTCTTCCTCCACAACAAAGCTCCAACAAATCTCTATGATGAGACCTTAGCTATAATGAGACTCTGTTAGTCAGATAGCCAGTAGAGATAACAGTTCAAACAGGCTTTACTAGGAATAAAAAAAGGTTCACCTTCATAAACATTTTCAATAAAATCCTCTTCTGGAGGGTGAAACCAGCCTCCATGTGTTGTTCGAGAGCTCACAGAATAAAAGGAAAACTGGAGATCACTTTCAATTCTGTTCTTCACCAAACCCTCCGTCTCCACACTTCTGTTCTACCATCAACACACTGGCACACTACTCTGGATAAAACAGCATACGGAGTGAGAGTCCTCTCAACTACAAGCGGTTTGAAATGCTGAAGCGCTCCGAGACTTTGCCTTTAGGAAAGTGTGTTGAAAGAGGGAGGAGGCGAGGCTGTGAATGTCATGCTTTCTGTTTTTCAGATCAAACAAATCTATAATACTGGTTCAGATAAAGTGCTTTTTTTAAGACGTGAAGAGATTTAGAGTAGAGTAGTTAGAGGAAGGATGACGATATGAAACCAAATGAGATAATAAAGTGAAATAAACACGCAAAAGTACAAAACAATACTGTTCTCACTGCTCTTACATGATTAGAAGAGGCAGACATGTTTGTGACTCATCTTGTCTGAATAAAACATGCTTTTTTTTGGGGGAATAATTTGACTTTAGTACTCATGCGTCATCTCATCTCCTTGGACACGGACAGTGCATTAGCTTCGCCCGTGTGGCTCACGCAGTGTTGTCCTACCTGTCTGGGAAGACTCGGAGGGGGGGGATGAGGGGGGAGGTGACTCAACCGAGGTGGAGATGGGGAGAGCGGGGGAAGCCACTGGCACACACACGCAGCCACGCTCAGATGCACTCAGGCAACACTGCATCAGTGACAATTCACCCGAGGGAGAAACACACACACTCGCCCTCAGACAGTGATGAAGAGGGAGCCGGAGAAACACCCGACTGAGCAGAAACCAGCCTCACTGAGGGGAGACCACGCTACCCACGCCAACAACAGCTCAGATCTGTACGGGTCCGAAATGGAGAGCAATCCATGATTATGGCTAAAATAATCATATTAATAAAATAATCCAAAAGGATACAAAATTTAAAAAAAACAGTTACTCATGATGACTATCACTGTCATTTTTTCATGTGACAAATTCATGTCTCAGATGGTCATTTGAATGCCTTTAGGTTTTTTTTTACGAAATTATGATCTGCATTTTTAACTAGTATCCCACTTTCTATAGACCAAAATATTGATGGTTTAGTCAGAATAAATCTCTGCAGATTAAGAGTTAATACAAATAATCTTTATCTTTTTGACATGGGCAAACATAGAGCTGCGACTATCTTCATTATTGATTCATATGTGGATTATTTGATCATGTATTCAATGGATGTAGATCGAAGTGAAAACAAGTCATTTCTCTTGTCTTTCCAATTGGGGGTTAGTTTGACCAAAAGTCTAACACCAAAGTTATTCAGTAAACCATCAGAAATGCAGCACATTTTTACATTTGAGGAGCTTGAACAAGAGAATATCTGCTTGAAAAACGTAGGATAAATGAGTAAATAGTATACTGGCAATCAGCAGGCATCATCAACTATGGAAGGTATATTTGTGATACGAAGATATATTGAAAATGTGTGTGATTGTTGTTGCGTTCCCTTGAGGGGTCTCTGCTCTTTGAGGGGTCTCTGCTCTTTACGAGGCAGCGTCCCTCTCAGAGGATGATCGGAAAGAGAGAGAGAGAGAGAGAGAGAGAGAGAGAGAGAGAGAGAGAGAGAGAGAGAGAGAGCCCCTGGGATTGGGCAGCAGTCCGTGGAAAAGCCAAAGCAATGATCCTCTTAGGGCCCGTTATATCATCCGGCGGGCCGACTGATATAATCCTCTAAATCAGATATTAGGGAAGAAACTCGGACACAACTGAGCCTCGGCACTTAGACGGTTAAGCAGAGAAGCTGATATTGCTGAACAAACTGTAGAGATAAAATCCACGTTTTTTAGATGTCATGCTATAGTGTGGAAATGTAAAGGTTAGTTAAACAAGACGGTCGCTTTGAGATTTGATCAATCGCATATATCTGGATCCATAACAAATGTATGATACTTCCTCGAAACAGAGTTTAAAGTTGTGGGTTTTCAGGATATTAAGAGGAATTCATTCTAGGGGCTTTTGTGCTACAGGATTTCTTCAAGATACAAAAACAACGTCTCCATATCCTGCGTCGCTGGATTCTTCCCTTCACCCTTAAGGTTGAATTAGTTACGATTCCTTGACCGCAACACTTTCCTTTTTGTGAAATCTGGGACAGACTGTCAGAGAGTGAAAAGGATGCCACGCCAGAGGCTGCTCTTATCGGAGTCAGACACACGTCCTGAAGCGAGAGCTCAGCCTGCACAACAGTGGGTACACCTGACAGGGAAACAGGGCCGTGTGCAAAACCAGCAGCTCCGTAACACCAGGGTCAGTGATGTTACTCTCAGACAAGCTTCATATCAGAATCATATATTCAGAGACACTGAAACTTCTCCATCAGACCGTATACTGGAATTCTGCTTTACAATTAAAACCCAGAAATGCTCAATCCAGTAAACAACCTGACAGCGTAGGTGCAGATGTAAAAAAAATAAAAATATCACATCAGCTGAACTCACAGGAAGAACAATGACCCTGAAAATGTACTTTCCAGTCTTTTTTCAGAGTTCACCAACAAATGATGCCTTTTTGTTGGTTTCTGAAAGCCACTGTATTTTAAAAAGGTATTTCTTTGCTTTTGTTGAACTTACACATTTGTTATATTTAATGTATACTTTTTACAATTTTGTGCATGCATCTGAGGATTTTCCTTCGTACAATATGTGATGCCAAGACGGCCCATCAGTTTGAAATCAGGACGATATAAGAGCGAAGCTATGCTAATTAGACCCCATCCTTCCCTTTATCTTTGATGAATACAACACAGTATGCAGGAGTTTTACAATGGCACTCAGAGCATGTCGAAATAACATGAACCAAAAGTAACATTACCTAGTAATCAGTGCCATCGTAGACAGGCTAGGCTAACTAGCTTCCACACTCCATTTGTAAGATAAACTAACTGTGTGTTCTCATTTATTGAATGCAATAAAAAACAAATATGTCGAACCTTTTTCAAATCAGATTTTGGGAAGATTTGATAATGACATTTAATAAGGACCGGAGTACATTTGTATTTTTAACATAAAATGCTTATTGAGTCTCACCCCGTTCTCACTGTTCTTCTCTCCGCTGCTTCCACTTCTGCGACTCGTCTGATCCTGAGACTGCTGACTCCCTGCAAACAGAAACAGTCGCCATCACACACACAAACAAATGTGCACGCAGCCACAAACAAGTGCAGAGGAACAACCATTGTCAGGAATGGTTTGAAAATCCACTGACTTGATCGCTCATGACAGCGGCATTTAGAACTGGGACAAGCGCTGCTGACTAAAGCCGCACCGAGCACAAGCGTTTTTTTTTATAAAACAGATATGATGGAGAGTAAATGATTTAAAACCTCACAGGAAGGGATAGAAAACTAGTAACTTATGCTGCACTTCTAAAAAAATCCTCAGATATTTTGAGGGTACCTCACTTTCTTAGTCAAGCTCCACACTTATATCAAATATGATATCACATCTGGATCACGGCAGAGTGAGTTTGCTTCCCTGCCGCCTGTTGACTTTGAGTGTACTTCCTTTGTGTGTACTTTTACTCAATTCCAACATTTGAATAAATCCTACTCTAGGTCAGCCCCTGATCGTGTGCAGCACTGGTTTTAGCGATTGATTTTAAGCATGGGTGCCTTTTTATGTGGCTATACTCCAAAAACACAAATGCAAAAAGGTTCATGTCAATGTAGTGTTTGTGCGTGCAAAAACGTGGCACTGATTTATTCCTTTGACATGCTCCATCAAGTATTGATTACACTTTCTGAAAAAAATCACTTTGACTGACACCACGACTAAAGCTGAGCAGCGAGCCAGAACCGCTGTCAGGAATTTCCTGGAAAACAAAGCCCACCCTCCATTTTCCACATGGAGAGAAAACGTCCAGACGATAACACACACACCTTGATCGCTGCTCTCTGTCGGTGAGTCTTCGTGCCGGAGGAAGAACTTGACTTCTTGTTTCCGAGGCCCCCATTTCTGCAGATGTTCATACATCATGTGTTCGAAGGGGATCGCTCGCTCTACAGAGAAAGTAAAGAGTAGTTAAACACATTTTGTCTCATGGAAACAGCTGTCTAAAAACAAAACACACCAACCAGTACCATAAGTTATCTGAAGCACACTGAACACCTAGGTAAATATCTTGTTTGTTCAAAGTGTAAAAACAGCAATTGATGATTTTAGAGGGGCTTCCACTGGCTTAAATAAGAGTGTTAGTGTAAAGGCCTTCCCTGTTCTAAAATGATTCCAATAATCTCAATATGGCATTATGGGATTAATTAGTCTACAACTATTATTGATTAAGCAAAAGAGCACATTTCCAAAATGTCAACGTGTTCCGTTTACCAGAAAAATAAAATGTACACATGGCAAAATGGCAAATAAAAAACCTTATTCAAACATTTTTTTGGGGTTGTTTCTGTCAAACTGGAGGTCTCTAAGGGGGATTATATCCTGCCATACATTTGCAAAGACCATGTACTAGTGATACAATATTGCAGTATGTAATGACGAAAGAACCCACAACACAGGTGACACACTGAATGCCAAAGCAAACCTGTCTTGGGAGTGGAGGGGTTCAACTACGATGATTGAAAAACTAATACAAGTCTAAAACATTCAATAACAACAGAAAAAAGGATGCCTTTAGGCACATTATGCTGTAATCTCTCTGTATCTATCAGCACAGGGTTTGCTCAGATTTAAATCAACAATATCAAGAGGACACCGCTCTGTGGATAAAGAGAGACAAAGCGACAGTGACAAAGACAGAGAGGTTTTAGGAGGGTCGGGGGGGGGGGGGGGGGCAGACAGCTGCTTTGTCAGGCACCCGCCGAACATGATTGCATAACGCGGGTTAATAAAGCCCTTGGCCGGGATGTTGTTTTCAGCTGGGGAGTGGCCCCTCAGCAAAAAATGCTGATAACACCGGGTGTGTCAGCAGGGCTGTGGGGATGGGAGCAGGTCGCTCGGGCCGAGTGGAATCTGCTGTGACAGAGCTGTGGACTGACCCAGCACGTAACCCTTTTCTGACCTACACATTGTACTTCAAGTATGATTTCAAAGTATGTTAAAAGCACTTTTGTTCCTTATTCGAGGATGTGAGGTTGTCTAATGATTTCCCTCCTCCCAGGTAGTCGTGCAAGGCCCTTCTCAGCACCTGATCTTTCTTTAATGAATCTTGTTTTTACATTAATGAAGAAGGCTAGAGGCTACTGCTCTATATAATTACATTCTTGCGCATGTAAGTGAAGTGCCAAGCTCGGGATAATGGAGTTCACCTTCATGCATTACTGGTTACAACCGGCTTTTCTTCCTTTTGAGCTTCTCATGAAAAAGAGCTCAGTGTTCTGAGTTCTTACCGTTGCCTCTCCAGACCTCAGCCAGGTGGCAGCCGCTCTCTCCGGGCTCTTTGCAGAACTCCACGACATCCCGGCACGTCGTCTCAGGGGTGATGGGCACCTCCGTCACAGCCTGCTCCCCATCGCTGAGGTACACCGTCAATATCATCTAAAAAGATGGATAAAAACACACAAAAATCAGGAAAGAAGAACATAAAACAGTGGCAGATCATACTGGCAGAAATGGACATACAGATGGCGTTACATGAAAATGTGTTCTCTATTGAAATATTACTACAATTTAGTTTTTGGGTAACACAAAGCCTAGTCTGCTGATGGGACACTTTAAACATCCACCAGGCCCAACTGTTAGTTTGGACTCATGCCTGTGCCTGCCACATTTCTGTTAACTATGATTATGGCCTGCCGAAGTGTTAAGGATACACTTTTTAACCTGGGAGGTAGGACATAGCAGTGCAAGCCCCCACATGCTTCTGTCTATGCACACATATCAGTAAAAGCAGAGATCTAACACGCTGCTTTCCAAGTGCTCAACAAACAGCTTTCAGGCCGCGACACGTTGAGTGAATGAACATCAGAGGAAACTGCAGGTGTAACCAGAACATATCGTCCTGAATGTGAGCTACTAAATGGCTTCATGTAGTAGCCCGGAGCCTGCAGAAGACATGATGAGGACTGACATTTGCTAAATGTTAAGTTATCACCTGAGAGTTCCTTTGTACCTGCAGTGTAACAGCATTCTATAACTCTGATGTCCAAACACCTTCAGCCGAATAGAGAGGTGATGAGGAAAAGTTCAAAGCAAATATGAACTTTGGACTAATCCTAAACACACTGCCGGCAGAGTGCGTGTCTTTTGTTGGAAAGGCTAAATGATGGTGATTAATCTAACAGCTCATTGGTAGGAAATTAACAAACAGCTAGGTTCGAAACGTTTGGAAAAATATCCATTTCAGTTTTGTTTTTTTTACCAATTGTGATTTAAATTTAAAACTATAAGCCTAGTTGGTAGTACACACAATATTAAACAAAAGATAAGAAACATTGCATTAATATAGGGTGTTTGTGCTTCTTTCTAAAAGTAATTTGCCTAACATAAATAGTGCAGCATATCTTATTTATCAGAGAACAGACTAGAGTGGGGAAAAGGGAATTGTAGTTTTCATTTACTTTAAGCGGTCATGGTTAACAGAAATTTGAGATTATTTTATAGGGGAGGTTTTATTCTAAACTGAAATACGTACAAAAAAGTAATTAAACAACATCATTTGGGATCAGGAAACATATATTGGCAATTATTTGGCCTTTTTGTATTCATATTTTTTGTATTTATTATCATGAAATTAACGTCATGTTATTTTTCCTCCCTCAGCATATTTGCTCTATTTTTATAACACACACCCACACCACACACACACACACACACACACACACACACACACACACACACACACACACACACACACACACACACACACACACACACACACACACACACACACACACACACACACACACACACACACACACACACACACACACACACACACACACACACACACACACACACACACACACACACACACACACACACACACACACACACACACACACACACACACACACACACACACACACACACACACACACACACACACACACACACACACACACACACACACACACACACACACACACACACACACACACACACACACACACACACACACACACACACACACACACACACACACACACACACACACACACACACACACACACACACACACACACACACACACACACACACACACACACACACACACACACACACACACACACACACACACACACACACACACACACACACACACACACACACACACACACACACACACACACACACACACACACACACACACACACACACACACACACACACACACACACACACAAATATTCATAAGAAGATTCAATGATGGCAACACATTGAATCACTGGGTTAAAACCACTGGAAAAACCCCGCACATTTTCACAATTTGGCAATTCATTTTCTGGGTAAACAACTTTGTGGATCCTAGAATGAGATTAATCAGCTTCTGGTTAAATAAAGCCAAAATACAGGATGAGAGGAGCAGTGGAAAATGTCCTCTAAACAAGTACTTTATACACAAAAAAAGTTATGCCATAAACTGTCGTGTTCAAGGACAGTCAGTTTAATTACAGTTGCAGTCAGTTTCCCATCTGCCTTCGTTCAACCTGCACAAATTAACTTTCCCTGTATTGCTATTAAATGTTTTTGGGAGATGAGAACAGACCAAATGGTTTAATATAAACCCCTTTATATGCAGTACTCCAGAACATCGACATGATGTGTTTCCCTTCTGCCAGATTCTCATTGTTTCACTCTCGGGGGTTGAGGTGTGCCTTCCTGTTTCATTTGACAGTGACAAGCTCACAAAATAAAGTGCAGAGAGCCAAAATGGAGAGTACCTTCATACCAAAGCCAAGAGTTTGAAATGGATGTTCAAAATGAAATAAAAATGCTGGCTGTGTTTGAAAAGACTGAGTGTTAGCATGACCTTCATGCATTTGAGATGCGGGTTTAGTTTAAGCAAACAAAGTAGAAAAGGGAATCCAGATTTCTTATATTCCAGTAGCTTGCTTTTAACTTGCATAGCTTTTGCACATTGAAAAGAAACAGTTCCAGAATAATGCAAAGAAAACCACGTAATCAAGACTTCAATGAAAAAGTAATATCAAAAGGCCTCTGTTATCAACTTAGTTTACACATGGTTCACAATGTCAAACCAAATCAATTGGCCAAAACCACTACACACCTTACTCTGTAAAGTGTGTACAAATATGTAATGTATCAACTTCAATTCAGGCATTTACACCTGTATCACTTAGACATAACAAAGCCAATGAAATGGATGTTCAAAATGAAATAAAAATGCTGGCTGTGTTTGAAAAGACTGAGTTTGTTCATTGAGATGTGAGTTTAGCTGGTTGTCAGTAAACAGAGTAGAAAAGAGAAAATCCAGATGTCCTATAATCCAGTAGCTTGCTTTTAACATAGCTTTTGCACGTGGTTGAACAGGGAGGTTTGAGCCGAGAAACAGTTCCAGAATAAGGCAAAGAAAACCACGTAATCAAGACTTCAAATTAAAAAGTAATATCAAAATGCCTCTATGTCAAGTTTACACATGGTTCACAATGTCAAATTGGAGTCTACAATGTCAAACCAAATCAATTGGCCAAAACCTACAGACCATTACACACGTTACTCTGTTAAGTGTGTAAAAATACTTAATTTATCACTTAAGTTGCTCCCATGCAAAGTACGATGTAGTTTCCTTGATGCATAACCGTCAGTATGTGGGCCCTCAGGGTATATTTAGTGCTACAATGATTGTCAGAGTATGACATTTAATATCTAAGTTCAGTTACTGTCTGGGCTACGTATAGATTATAACTCCGGGAGTTCCTCGGAGACAAAGTGACTCACCCTTTGTAATAATGCAGCCGAGTGATTCATGGACATTTTCTGCAGCAGCCTAACTGAAACATTATAATCACTCATGCTTCGGAGCCTCTGCGACTTCACTCAGTCTATTATGAATCTGAAAGCTGAGATTTTGGCAAATTCAGGAACAACTGGATGTATGATAAAGTGATACTGTAGTCATGGCAATCTTAAACAATACTGTTCGCCCATAACATCCATCTATGACAAGTAATGGTTGTCATTTTTGGGACCCTATCTGCAAGAGCATTAACAGAAAAAAAGGAAATGGGGGAGAAAATGAAAGTAAGCTGGGGACTAGTTATGACTACATATTACTGATAGATAATTACTTTGCTAATCCCCCAGGGAAATTGGAGAGCTACCAGCTGCATAATAAGAGACAACATAGTACAGGAAGACAAATAATGAACACAAAACAACAACAACAGTGAGGCCAGTAACAACATCAGTTTGAATACAGATCACAATGAAGCCACTATTGGAATTGGTTTTGGTGCATCCGTACTCACATTAATGACTACAGTAGGGTTTAGTCAAAAATAAATTATAGGCAAGACATGTTATGAAATATTGTAGTAATAAAACTATATATATATATATATATATATATATATATATATATATATATATATATATATATATATAAAAATAGGGCTGCAGTTGATCATTGTTTTCATTATTGATTCATCTGCAGATTATTCTGTAGATTAACCAATAATCATTTGGTTCATTGAATGTAAAATGTTTTAAAAATAGTAAAAACAAACAGTCTAACCTAGTTTCTCAAAGTCCAAGGTGAAGTCTTGTTTTGTCATTCCTAAGCATATAAATACTTACTTTTGCTATGATACAAAACTGAAAAAAAAGCTGAAATCTCAACAACATTTTCTGCCATTTTTGCATGGAATATTATCAATTATCATGTATTTTCTGTTGATCGACGACCCACTTCGTCAACTAGTAGATGCAGTTCTAAAAAAGAAGGAAATTAAAACACCCCAGCTTTTTTTATAACACCAAAATAATCACTTGGCTACAAATGTGGGCCTATTTGAAAACTAATCATTAAAAGCCAACACTGAATATTCTAAGCTATACCTCTGTCACATAAATAGAAATGACTACATCCTGCGAATAAGCATTCAGATGCTGACAGTGTAGAAAAGACAAACTCCAGTGATCCAGCTCACTGACCACTGGAGGAATACCAACCGCCCGCACTAAGTTGCGTCTGCCCATGGTCGTGGCTCTCTTCACTGCCCTCCGTTTCCTCCTGATCTCCTTCTTTGGTGGCCGGTGGTGCTCCTTTGCCCAAATGGGATTTTCCTTGGAGATGCTAACAAGGCCACGTAACACTATAGCGACAAACCGCTTCATCATAGCACTGCCGCTCTCGCAGGCATGAGACTTAATTGTTATGCCATCCCGAGCAGACCTCTGAAACCGACAGCGGTGCGTGCATTTGTAAAGTGCTGCAGAGGAGACTTGGAAGAAAAAACACTTGCTGTATGTGTAATTCGGAGAGGGAGGGGAAGAGAGAGAGCAAGAGGGAAACAAACAGTAAAGGAGAGAAAGAGAGAGAGGGACAGGGATGTGGAGGAGGGTGCCGACTAGTCCTTCGATTGGAAAGAAGTCCTTGTGTTGTGCCAGTGGCTGCAACACCAACGACTCCGTGCTAATGAGAATACTTTGGCTGCAGCTCTGACTGGCAAGACGCTCAGGACACTATGATGAGGCAGGAAGAACATCATCCTTACTCTCCATGTTGGCTGAACACAGGGCGTCACAATGATGACATTTTAAGTGATGATTACTTAAGAAATATTGTCTTGTTTGTTAGTTTATACCAGACAATTATAATGTCACAAAAAAGGGGTTCGAAGACTAACTTTAACCTATACTACAAAATACTACCAACTTCAGCACACATTTATTATCTGCTTCAGTCCACAGAACTAATGTGTTCATCACATGATGCTATGGAGCCTGAAAGCCGTTTACCATTGACTTCCACTGCGAAGGAGAAGTCAGCAGCAATTTTTCTTTTTAGGTGAATTACATTCCAAGTAAGAACACTTAAAGGTGGGGTAGGTAATTTTGGAGAAACCAGCTCGAGTGCGCTAGAATTTGAAAATACACAGCCGGAGAAAATCTGCCACTTCCTTACAGAGCCCCTCCTCCAACACACACGAACGCGCACATGACCAATGAGGACACGAGATAAGTCTGTGCACAGATGGAAGGCTGACAGGCAGGTAGGCCATCCAGTTATTTTAGCCGGGCCGGCTAAAATGATTGGTCGTGCTTTTTACAGTACTACGGCTTCCACAGATGAAATTTATTTATGGATTTTTTGTCAAAGCACTTAAGATATTCATTGCTATCGGGATGTTAAGAGCATTCCATGGAATATAACAAAAAGTGTATCTCGAGCCGGTTTCTCAAACTTACCTACCCCACCTTTAAATATCTCTTATTAAATTATAAAAGTTCTAAAATATGAATGCAGAGTTATTTTCCTTCCTGTTAGTGAGCTTGCTCTGCAGATCAGGGTAGTTTTAAACCAAACCCTGCTTTGAACGCTGTATCTAGTTCCATCCATCCATTTCATAATAGATATGAACCTTATTTGCTTTATATTTGTTGCCACATTGATACCATTAGCTTCAAATTCCTTTATATGGGAATCAACAGTTTAAGCAAAATGATCGCAGTCAGCTCAAATAATCCCCATCAGGCGATTATGTAATAACTGCGACAGGCCTAGCTGTCCATGTACTGTATAGAAACATACAGCGTCCCTTCAGCCTGATGCTACTGTGGGCATCATCAGGAGATTGGGGCTTTTATCATTTAACTCCTGAGAGGGAGAGTGGATGCTTGGCTGGCTTCATCTCCAGCAGGATGAATCAAACAGTCATTTTCTTTCACAAATCCTGTCACTCATTTACTATGAAAGAGGAGGTATACCTACGATGAATAAAGAAAGATCAAGCGCAGAATATTGCTTCCTGAGAGCAAAGAACGTGAACTGAAAACGTCCACAAATGCAACGATTGAAGACATTGCAATGAAATAAAGATGGAGTCAACTTCTAAACGTATCTACTCATATTATGCCAGAGAAAAACCTTACAGTAACACAGCAAGATAAATGAAACTAAACACAAGCTGAATTGTGTGAACTAGTAGAGCACATGCACTATGATCAGGATTATGCATGACACACAAATAGCTCAATCCAAGACAGCTATCGAGTGGGACATGAGGAGGTTGCCTTTGACATTTTTGACTAATATAAAAACGACATTTCGTGCAGCAAAATATTCCAAACACTCAAGATGTTAATGAACCATATAGAGGCAAGATGAGGTAATGATGTGGAATAAACTGAAAGCCTCATAGAAAACTAGAAAACTATTCAGAAAATAAATGCTCTTCTTACTTCCATTGAAAATGTAAACCTGGACAGGGCATGGGAACAAAGAAGATGTCATCTACTCTTTAAAAAAAAAGGATGTGTCCCTGTCCCTGATTGAAAGCTGACTAATGTACATGACGAGAAGAGTCTAATTAATAATGCATATTGATTTAACCAATATAAAAGGAGATCTAGCCTTGTTAAACAGGAGAGAAATTTGACAAAAAGGGTCTGACATTAATAGTCATATATTCAATGTATGGCATGTTACTGTTTAATAGGGAGTGCCTTATGGCTGAGCTGGTGTAATTTTAGAACAAGGTCACGAATACCACCCAAAAATAGTATAAGCGACAACAAGATGCAATGTTTACGTTTTCCTGTAAGTCATGCTCTGCCCGGCTCACTGTGTGAGATTAATGCCACTTGACAATCTACTCAGCTCCGAAGTTCCCCTCAACAACAGAGCATTAGTGGACGCAGTCACACAGACCTAGATCTGCCGACGTCTCATTGGCTGCCCGAGTCACGCGAGACCCGAGTGCGGGGCTGCCTCTCTGCTCCACTGGCTCTTTGACTCTGATAGCCCGGTGGTGCCACAGGGTACAAACGTCTACAGAGGCGACCATCGCAGTCCCCCCTGAGAACTCTACAGCGAATACAGAGTAGCTTCTCTGTTGTCCTGTACTCCTGAAAACTCTCAAGCGTCTCTGAATGTCACCGCGATACTGTATTTTCACTGGCAAAGAATCGCCTCCATATACGACAAAACCTTACTAAACCTGCTGTAAACTTATCCTGCGTCTGAGTTCATGTTCACACTCCCTGAAGGCCAAAGAGGCTGCTATCACTTTACCCACAATACACCACTGCATTGTCAGCACGACAGATAACAAAAGAAGTCTCAACAAAGCATGACTCCTATAGTGTTGCCGTTCAGGTATTCTACTCTTTGTCACAGAGCGTCTTGTACGATAACACCAGGGAAAACAACAGATGGAAAATAGTTCTACTTCATTTATCATGCAAGAACGAAGCAACGTTATTCAACACAAATGCATTATTATAGAGACAATAGTACAGGGTGTACAGTAAACCTGTGCCGATATACAGCAGTGTAAATCAATAATGCATATAATTGCAGGAACATTTATTCTATTCAGTGTTGTTAAAACACAAACCAAATGCCAAGCCCTGTTTAAATGTCCCCTGCCGAGGGGCCTTGTAACCATTAACATGAAAAATGGAAATGGAAATCAGCTGAAGTAATACTGTACAAAAGATTAGGTACTAGAAGATAAAGTACAGTTTTTTATTTCTGGGATAGATACAGATTAGTTGGGTGGCAGAGGGAAAGGAAAATGGACAGATATGAATCTTGCTTGAACTTGTGAGATGTACGACTGTACATTGATAGTCAGAGTGTAATACTAGGCTATTCATCTTAAATCAGTTAATCATCAAATTGTTAATGAAGACCCCCAAATGCTATATAGCAATAACTACATGTGGAACTATTCCGATTACTGCATAACACCTCAAAATCTCCCCACAAGTAATATGTTATGCAAATGTAACCCAATATACCCAATCATTATTGTCAAGGCACTTTTATTTATTTTTTTATAAATACATTTATATATTCTTTAAGGTTAAACCTGGACCATTGGAAAGACAAGAACGTGCCTACATTGTTTTCATTTCTAGATATGTTTGATTTATTTGAGTAAGCCCTGTTTTAAGGGATGCATTTTTATTTATGCATATTTTTTTGTTTGTTGTTTATCTTGCGCAACATCAGGCAGAGGTTTATTCATGAATTTAAAATGTACCTTCAAAATAATAATAAATGGTCTTGGCATATATCATGACATAATAAAGGAACAATACGTTGCATTTAAATGCCAGGGGTGCAGGGTGTGAGTGGACTTACCGGCATCATATTGGCAGCTCTGATCAGAACCAGGGGTGCATCGGCAGGTGTAATGACGGCTCACCCTGTTATCTTCAATGGCACCTTAGCTAGTTTTAGTTACTCCAATGTGTCAACCAACTGGGCATCAGTCCTCTCTGTAAACCCCAAAACAAGCTGAATGAATATAGTGCTCTAAAACTGAGCAGTGAGTAAAAACAGCAGCAAATGCTATCAGCCACAGACGTGCAATTTAAATGGCCCAGGCGTGGCTCGTGCAGCTGCTGCTACAAACAAGCCTGGCTGTTAGCTCGCAACGCAACGCTGAGGCGATTTAAAAACAAATGACATGCACAAACTTGATAATACTAAAGCCCAACACATTAAATACACTCACCAATGTCAGAGAGAATGCATTGTTTCGGGGAGTAAATCTTAGCTACGTTACTGTTGAAGGCACGTAGCTAGCCGAGCCAGCTGTCAGCCAGCTAACTCTCTCCGGAGGTGCTAGCAGTAGCTGCTCTCCGAGGCGGCTAAAGGACGGTGAGCCACAAGATATCACCGCTCTCGTCGGCCCTTCGGCTCACATTTAATGCACATCGGCACCAGCTATCGATGGAGTATGTTGCAAGCACACGACAGAAAAATAAATGTCCCCCAGATTAGGTTAAATTGGCTTTTTTCGAACGCAATGAATCATCGTTAGCAGGCTAGCAGTGAAAATACAAATAGCTGGAGTCCAGTTGTTGACGGAGGGAGGGGCGGGGCTTCACCGCAGCAGCACAGCGTCAGGTCGACGTGAGACGTCAAGAATCTGACGTCACCAGCCAGGATACCAGCTGCAGGTGACAGTGTTACTGCTTTTACAAAAAAAGAGAGAAATAAATGTATTAATTATTTACATGATAAACCAATTTGTCATTTATTCTATCATTGTTTGTACAAAAAAAATGTTTTGGTGTGATGTTGAGGACAAACGATACAACTTCAGTATGATTATACACTTTAAAGGTGATGGATTTTATACAAATATTGTCTTATTTATACAACTAGGCCTGATTTTATTTTTGGGAACATTCACAAGAAGATATGGACTGACTCTAAACCAAATGTTGCACATTCATACCTAAATTTACAACAATATGGCACCACTATCAAAGATATTAAAAAAAAAGAAGGCAATAAAAACCAAATGTGTATTTGATTAATATTTCATTTGAAATGTTACCTTTAGTTTTTTCACTAGTTTCTTTCTTTTTTTAATATTTATTTCGGTTTTTTTAACTCTGTATAAGTACCTATGTACCCCTGAAGTCAATGTTTTGTCTGCATATAATGTTTGAATAAAGGGAAATAAAACACATGATTATTGCCTGATTATTTGAAAAAATAGAACTAATGTTGGATCACACTTTTAACTTGATGTTACCCATCTAACATCCAATTCCTTCTTGTTTTTTCTCATTTACATGTTGTGCTTTTAGGTGGCATATTCCTATTTTCTGTCAACAATGGTTTATGGGATATTAAATAAATGACCTGACAATTCATTATTTGTTCTCATACTTGATTAGAGAAGGCTTTATAAGTATTGACAGCCAACAGCCGTAAAATCACCAGATAACATGCACACATTTTGAAAGACTTCAAATGCATGTGGCCACATTTATTATCTTACAACAGGATGAAACCCTCTGGATCTGAGTTTCAAGGGGCTTTCAATAAGCTCAATCGTGCAGGGAAAATAGCAGGATGATACATTTTTAGTTTTTGTAGATTTAGAGTAACATAAAAAAAGTATTGGTCTAAGAACTGATATATATATATTTGTAATGATGTATGACAGCTTCTTCTAGACTCTGACATGTTTTGCTGTTCATGACGGATGTTATAGTTTTGGACACCTTCTTCCTCAGTTTAGCTCAAGATGACACAAAGCTTTGGAAATATTTCCCTTTTCAAACTCACTACTGACATATGACAAAAAGATTATAAAAGGATTGTTTGCAACCCTGAAGGGACAAGGTGTGTATATCTGTATGTTAAGGTTGAAAATTAATCACAGTATTATAGTAGCATAATAATGTCAGAGAGGATTATGTTTTATGATTTTTGCCTTCAAATCTTTACATAAGTAATAAAAGAAAGTTGAGATTCAGCTTTTAAAGCCTGTATGTTTTATGGATCATAAAATCAAAACAAAGTGAAAGAGTTGAAAGTCACACTAGTGACTCCAAGTGGCGCACAGAGAGAAGTGACACTGCAATGTAAACCAGAAATGCATTTAGCCAAGAGCCATTACTCTTATCTTAGATCATTTGAGAACCCTTTAAATATCTATGCACACCCTGCCAATTTAAAGTAAATATTGACATTTCTTCATAAAACCCTTTACCTACAGTATTCTCATGAGTTTTTTTCTCCAAACAGTGTTCAGACAGAAACTGAGAAACACCTTAGAAATACCTTGGAAAACATTGACCCATGTCGTTAATATTAGGTAATTATCAAGGATAATAAAACCATTAAGACTTTGTGATGATGATTCCTTTATTTGGAGCTTCTCGAGATCTTTAATTACAATTCAATATAACATATTCATATTAAAAGACAGATTGTACCCCAGTGCATCAGATAGGTTGTGACAGAAAATATCAAAAGATATAAGCAGCTGTTTCAATTGATGAAAAAAATGTACACACACAATCAAAAACAAATGTCCTCCATGGGGAGGAGGAGCAAACTTTGAATTTACTACAACCACAAGGGACAAACCCTACTCATTGTGCCTTTAAGTGCTATGACCTTTCAGGTTCACAGTTCATTCCAAAACAAAAGGCAACAAAACAAAATGCAGGTTATAGTCAGTAGTAATTGTAACATTAAGCCTCTCTGAGCTCTGATGATACGTGGTTTGCCCTTTACTCACGAGAGGTTAGCCTACCTGCCTGTCAGCCTTCCATCTGTGCACAAACTTATCTCGTGCCCTCATTGGTCATGTGCGCGTTCGTGTGTGTTGGAGGAGGGGCTCTATAAGGAAGTGGCAGATTTTCTCCGGTTGTGTATTTTCAAATTCTAGCGATCTCGAGCCGGTTTCTCAAATGTACCTACCCTACCTTTAAACAAAACTATTATTATTATCATTATTTCATTCAATCACTCAGTTTACATTACATTACATTGCATTTAGCTGACGCTTTTATCCAAAGCGAGTTACAATAAGTGCATTCGACCAAGAAGATACAAACTTGAAGAAAACAGAATCGTATAAGTACATCAGGTTTCATAGAGCTAAAACATTTCAAGTGCTACTCAACTGGCTTTAGATAAACCAGTCCTTTATTAGCCCTTTCATGCATGAATTATGAAAGCCTCACTCAGGATTTGTTTACCAAGTGTTTGTATTGCTCTTGGGGCATTACAAACAAGATTTTAACTTTAGTTTTTTTTAATCTAGTTTTTTCAAAAAACCACTCAGGTGGACAGTATGCATTAAAGTCTAAACTGAAAACTTGTAAATTTGGAAAAAATGATAAATAAAGATGTGCAAACTTAAAATTACATTATAATAACTTAAGTATATATATTTAAGGCCCAAAAAGATATTGCAAATTAAGTATTTTCAAGAAGAACAGTAGAAGTAACAGTATGAAGTTTAGTTGAAATATAGCCAGTGATGCATGACGTCCACTGTAGTGGACAGGTGAATAATCATGATTTCCTGCAAACATAAAATCAATACTTTGACTATTTATGAATTATATCATTCCTTAGTTGTTACTTGATGTCACCAAATGTGTTATACCTGCAGGGAGCGCTTTCCATGAAAGGATTGGCAAGATATCGGCAGGTGACTTGGTCCATCTGGCTTTCTGTCGTTCATCTTGGTTTAGAGACCTTTATCATGCACTTGCACTGACTTTCCATTGAGTGGCAGTGTATGGGATGATGCAATAGGGTCCTATGTAGTGGCTGATGGTGCAACTATGCAAAAAAACAAACATGCAAAACACCTTTTGAATAGCTGTCCACTGTAGTGACCTCTATGCGTGAAAGCCAAGGGTTAATATATAAGTGCTTTGTTAGTAATTGTATTGCTCGAAGTGGAGTCGAAAGAGATTAGTTTTTAGTCTGCGCCGGAAGATGGGAAGAGACCAAGGGGTAGACCTAGGACCAGGCGGAGGGATTATATCTCTTGGCTGGCCTGGGAGCGCCTTGGGATCCCCCAGTCAGAGCTGGTTGATGTGGCCAGGGAAAGGAAAGTTTGGGGCTCTCTGCTGGAACTGCTACCTCCGCGACCCGACCACGGACAAGTCTTGATAGTTTATATACAGTCCACTCCACTCTTCCTTTACTATGGGAGCTTTATCCTTAATACGATTCCGGAGACTTTCTTCCTGTAAAGTGAAACATATTCTTTTAGATAGGGCAAGGGCATAAAGGGTCCAGTTCAAAGAAAAATAGTCAATATACTGTAAGTGTTTGAGTAACATTATCGTCTCATATTTAGCCATTGAGCCTCTCACCGTAACAAAATTGTCCGTCTTTGGAATAAATTTATACATCAAGTGTTCGTAGATTTGGCTGCGAGGGGCGAGCACATGGAGGTGGAGATGATCGACGGAAGTACAGGGAGGTTGGTGGAAGCCGAGGCTGTAGGAAAACACATAAATGTAAAGGAAACATTTTAATAAAGTAATAACTTAATAACAAAAACCTTTTGACAGAGTGAGTATTTCCACCTCTCTTAACATTTTAAGCTACAACCATATAGTCAGAATTGAGCTTAAAGGTGCATTTCAACAACAAAATATTCCTCTAGAGCTCACTGGTTTCTTATTTCTTATTTGTTTTAACCTTATGAAAAAGGGAAAAAACAACAAATTGCTGTTGGCGTAGATGCTGGATTATTTCGTTTGCACTTTACATATATTAAAAAAAGGAGATAGAATGCTTGTTTGGAGCCAGGTTAGCGCTTTAACTCTTTGTGCTAAACTCATAGTCTTATGCCTGACATCCAGATATGTAGTATCAATCATGTCATTTAACTTTCCACAAGATATTCCTTTAAACTTTGTGCTTATTGAAGGTCACACACACAACCGTTCTTCCTACCTTATATCCTCCATATTAGTGATCCCTTGGTCTTGTAGCACAGCTTTCCCCATTTCAGCCATCCTCTTAACTGTTGGATACAAGTTACAACACTTCAGTTATACCACTATTAGGAAGCTTAAACATCCCCATAATAAGATGAACTCAAATAAATGATACGGTAAATCCAGATGTTTAAAAGTAAATGCGGAAGTTGCAGTATCAGTTGTGGAAATACTTTCAGCAGCAGTCTCATAACACCTAAATAGTTCTAAAGGTATAGTAAGACTCTTTGCAGCTTTATTTGTAGAAGCTGTAGTAGTGTGACTATAAGCAGTAAGGGACAGCAGGTCAGGAGAAATAGAGGTTCTGTGTTTTTGCAGAGCTTTTTATTAGCTTTTAGTGATCTTATGACTGACCGAGATCAACGTGTCCCCTGTGTAGCGAGAAGCAGCTGTGGATGTGCTGAATGGGTACAACCAGGTAGTGGTGAGGAGCAGCAGGGTAAATGTCTCTAAAACACACCAGCTCCTTGTTCTGTCAGAGAGGAAGGAATAACAGATATAAAACACACACATTAACCTACAGCCTGTTAAGGGAAATCTTTACATATGTCCTCAGTTATTATATGTATAGAGAGATTATGTCTATTCTGTACTGTAGGGATGTAATATTGTTATTGTACCACTGTGAGGCACTGTAACGCACTGTGTGTGTTACGTGCTACGTAAGGACGCACGCAGGCTTGCGTCATGTAAATGAGGGTGTGTTCACCTGATGCCAGTGGCGAGCCGTGGGTTGCGTTCGAATACTCCAAAAAAACAGCTCCTAAATTCTAACCCTATCGTCTATTCCTTGACCTCGGAGTGAAACGTCATGGGGTTAAGGGATAGTGGATAGGAGAATTCAAAAGGATTTAGGAGAAGAGACTGCGGCACTTTAGAGAATCCGACTGCACTTTCACTATCCGACGTGTTTATGATGCGCCAGCAGAGGTCATAAATGTGCGCCTGCTGCTGTGGGGAAACTATGGAAACTACAGTTTTCTATACAGCGGACTACAACATGGATGTTTAATAAGAACGAGGGACTACTGTAAACTCATCTAGAGACTCTGCACCGTGCTCTGATGCTGTTGTTTTATGCTTTATGAACGGGGACAACAGAGAAACATATTCTTCATGACCAAAGTTGAAATTGAAATAAAAAAGGAAAGTGAAACTTATGCTCGTCACCCTCTCCCTCCGGTCCACATTAATACAAATGATCCCAATACATATGATTGTATGAAAAGATCTTAAAATCAATACAAATGTATTTATTATAAACGTTAGTCCTTAACATCTATCACTGTGTATATCACCATTCAAACATCTTTTAAAAGTTGAACAAACCCCACACAGCTCAGTAAAGACTGTGAAATGTTGACTTTATTTGATCATTTCAGTAAAAACTAACGTTCATATTTCTCTTTTTGATTATAATACTGATGAACGTTCAAAACAAAGCACTTTGACAACTTACCACATACGTTTTAAAATGCTTAATAAGCACCGTAACTTTCATGATATCATTTCTCGTTCATAATCGGTTGTTTCCGTGAACGGCCGACTGTTGTGTGACGGCAAATGCTGCGGCTGCAAGGCATTGTGGGGCAGCATTTTCTCCTCTCCTTTCGGTTAGGGAGGTCCAGTGGTTCCTAGGCTAAAGGAGGTTATAAAGGAAGTTTGAAACCTCCTTTCCTTTTAATTTAGAGAATTCGAACGGCACTTATCATGGCTGCCACTGAGGGACTTCCGGGTCATTTCACTCCGTTAGGAAGGTTCCTAAGCTAAATGGACTATTCGAATGCAACCGTGAGCTTTATACCTAGGCCCTCTGACCCCCACTCCTTCCCTCGAAAAAAAGAAAAAAAAAGAGTTATTACGTCACAGCGTATACTTCAGCGGAATATCAAAACAACGGCCCAGGGTGCAAAACGCATCAATGACAGCGACCCTCTACCACACAAAACAACACCTGTGAACCCAATTTGTGTTCTTTGACATTGAAAATGATATTGCATTGTGGTTGTTACTTTCGTTGCAGTTGTATGTCTTAAGTGTAATTTGGCATGCTTTTATTTTGAAGGCGAGTTCACGCTGTTGACAGGAAGTTGTTGTTGCTATGGAAACAAGAAAAGTTTCACAGCGGGCGGAACTTGTCATAAAGTCCGCGATAATAAAACCCACCCATTTAGAGGGAAGATATGATTGGTCAATTGTACTGTCATTTGACATTACTCTCTCGTTCAGTTACTATAGCGGGCCCTCTGTGAATCGCAGAGAGGGCCAGACGAGCTTCTTTCATGTAACCCTTCACATTCAAACAGAAAAAAATTGAATTATGGATCATCAATCATTTTTTCAAAGTGACAGACACATTGGATTAACCTTCAGCTGCGTTTTTCTCGTTTTTGATCAGAATTGTTATTCTGCAAAAGGTGAGCATATCTCCGTGTTTTGCTACCTAAAGCTACGTTGTGTGATGTCTGTATTTGCTTCCCCTGTCGCGAGTTCTGATCGCTCAGTGATGATACTTATATTTCTAGAATCTGTGGAATCTCAGCTTGTTAGCACAGTTTATGCTGTAGAAACGATGTCCAGGACAAGGTGTTTGGAAGTTTTGGAAGATTCATAGCTAACCAAACTGAAGTTATGGAGGTATTGATCAGTCTTCTCATATTTTTAAGCCTCAAATTGTCCTTCCCCCCCCCCTCTAACATCACCAGAAGTCATAATTTAGGGGGTCTTTTCTAAAAAAAAATGCCCCCTAGTATTGTTTGATCACCATTTCCACAGCCGCACCTAAAATATTTTCCACCAGCCGCCACTGGTGGGGATGGCAGCTCAGTGCCCCTATGGTCATTATTTTTTTGCAACACACATTAAATAGGAAAATACTCTGAGCATGCGCAGTGTAGTTTTTACAGTCACCGTTCACTTAGACAGTGAGAGGGAGGGGCATGATCAGGTTTTGTCCCACATGGCTCAAAACAGCTCAATAGGCACACACTGTAGACACTAATTAGAAGAACACAGACTAAAACAGCAATGTACAGACGAATCAGATGATTAAACATGATCTTAAAATATATTTTATATATATATATATTTTTTTTTTTTGCATTTTTTGTGATCATTATTTGTAATACTTTCTGCTGACACTAGGTGGGGCTGTGCCCCACCTGCCCCTAATGACCATTCGCCACTGCGTATGATCCACTATTTCTCTCCGAGTGCAGCGTATGAAGAAGCTGCCACCCTAAACCTTAACAGGTTACGGGCCCAGGAGTCATTCGGGGAGAAGTTTGAAGATTTATCACCGTCAGAAAGCATGGATAAAATTCAGATGTATTATTGTGGGCCCCCATTCTCTGGAACAACAACGTGTTTTTGTCGTGTTTGTGGCCAGAATTTGACCCTTTATCTGTTAATTCTATTCTTAAAATGCATTGTTATTTATTTTATTTTGTCTTACCTAACTTATTGTACTGTTTTCTATTTTTTTTTTAACCATTTTGTAGTTTCTTTGCTCAAGTTATAATATCACTTTTAAATTGTTTGTATTATTAGTCTGACGTTTATTTCTTGTAAATCACTTTGTTACCTTGTCTTGAAAAGGGCTATATAAAATAAAGTGTATTATCATTATTCAGATGCCTAATAACCTTTGTATAAATGTAGACGTTTCTTCTTAACTAGCAAAAGTAATAATGGCATAATGCATTTGTAACCACTGCATAATTATCCATTCTTTGAAATGTAGAGACGTTGACCTTTAATCATTTTATGTTGTGTGTACCTCAGACTTCAACAATTTCATGGCTATTAAAACGAGAGTAAATATCCAGCCCGAAAAAGGTCAACTGCTTCCGCTATGATGAAAGGCACAAAATGAGTCTAACATCTCCATTGTTGCCATTTCCTGATTTAAAGACTTCCTAAGGATAACCAAACGGTATTTAAACCCTTATATTGTTGATACAATGGTGTAATGCAATGTATAGGTGAGCTTTACCTGCCGTTACAACTTTAAGGATCTTACCTTTTTGATGACTTGTGTTTTTTTGTCTTGACCGTTGGCTATCAAACAGAAAATACAAGTTTCATCGCTTTCTGAAGTTAATTTTGAGTCGTTTCTCAACATATTTCAGATTTTCTTTCTTGTTTCCTTCTCAACGCGTTGCCGGTAAACACAACCTATGATAGGCTGTATGTGGACCAAAGATCGTCTATATTTACGAAGACTCAATCTTGTTTCCATAAATCCTCACATCATACACCGTTTGAACACAATATTTTAAATCTTTTACTAAACCAAAATAAACAAATAGAGTGACATTATAGAGGAAGAAATGTAATGAAATGTGTGGGGGAAACTTCTGAAGCAATTGGAGTCAGGACTCAGAAAAGAGAGACACGATGGACAGCTGGAGCTTTGATGTCAAACACTGATGGTTTATTTGGAGCTTCGGCCCGAGAATTCACAAGACATGTCACGGGCCACGAGTTGACCACACGGGTTGAGATGCCACAAACAATCAATTCTGAAGAACCCTCCTGTAGCTCGAGGTTTTAACTAGTTCAGAGTGTAATAATCAACATTCTTCAATAGATAGACTAAACAGCTGAGGACACTGAATCACAGTTGTTGTCGCTTATGGCTCGGGGTCATCTACACCCCGAGAAGGATGTGTTCCAGGTGTCCCACAACAATAACGATCTCTGACAGAGAGTTGCCCGGTCATAAACTGGCAACATCAACAATATGCTAGGGCAGCCCCTCCTTATAGGAGATAACGGCTGCTCAAGGTTGGTCAGCTGCGTCAGAAGGCGAAGGAGGACATGCAGGGCAAATTATTCCCCAACAAAATGTAACATTAAATATGTGAAAGGGTCAGATCACAGACATTTCCTCTCAACTGCAAGTTCTTGGTATACAATAATAACTTGCATACCACTTCAAGTCATCATTAAAAACTCACCTGTTCATGGCCTTTGACCTAGTGCAGTAACTATGCTACACTGGGCAAAGCGGGGGCAAGATATGCTTTACTATTCTCTATTCAATTATAATATTAAACGTGTCGCAGGTCCAAATTGCACCACTTGGGTGGCCAGAAATACACCCAAAAAGTGTGAACAGTCCTCAACATTGTACATGTTCTGTTGTGCAAATCTCAAAGTGTACAATTCTTTGTGCACGCTATTTTCAGAACATGTTTAACAAATGATCCTAATGCAAAGCGGTGGGGAGCAAATTAGCCATTTACAAAAGTGGTTGGTCCCCAGCGTCCCCAGTATAAATGACACCTGTGAGCCAAATATATATTTTTATTGAAAATCGAAACAATTTTAAGGTTCAACAAACTTAAACCTCTACTATTATCTTAACTTCATAATTTATTTCTCCTTTTTCCCTCTCAATTGAATTAATTTAGGGCAGAGAGTAATTCAGTTTCATGTTCAGAGTGTTTCATCTTCTCAATGTGAGATCTTTGCAGCGAATGACTTCCCGGAAAGATCCCACCACTGGCTTCTTCCTTATGGCACAGTGTCTAACAGTAAAACTAAGACTTAAATTAATACACTCCTCTTTCAACAGTCCTACAATGATTAGCGACAAGAAACCATAAGATGGGATATATAAAAGTAGACATAAACAACACAACCCTTAATAATATGTGTATATATAACATTTATTTAGGTTTAAATGTGTTTGCTATAACAACACAATAAATAGATCCATAGTAATATCACAGCAGTTTTGGGTTCACGAGAAATAATACTCAGGGATCATTCACAGTTAAAACACAAGAACACAAAGCTCATTTTCACATAAAGCGATTACTGGCATTAGTGAAAAGTATGGCAGGTATCATTGAGTGGTGTCAAACATTTGCAGTATTGCATAATGCATGCACTACAAGCCTGTGTCGGACACAAAGGATATAAATTAACATTTATTTTCTGTGTTAGTAGATCGGAAATTTTTGTTAGTGGCTTACCAGAGTGCAAAAACAGACTGTCCCTTTTTCCATTTTTAAGTAAAGCAAATGCTGACCTATAGTGGTGATCAAATAGCATTAAGTAACAATTTTACATTGAATAAATGTTTAATTACACGAGGCCACAACAGAGCAATGACTGTCGATAAATCCTGTAGTGCAAAGTGACATCATGTTTAACTTCTACTGGCTCTAAACAATGACCGCAAAATTAATAAAAACAGATAGAAATCAGTCGACGTGAGATATGAATTCAATACTGACAAAACAGTCATTTGTAGTGCTTGTTAGGTCCAATCACAAACAGAAACATTCAACACTTTCTATAAAAGCACATCCATTAAAATTGAGCACTCTTTGTAAAGAATGTAATAAGAATACAATTTTAAAATAAAAAAATCTAAAATATTTTATAAAATAAACTCACAACAAATGCGAAATTAAAATGGAACATATTTGGTCTTTGCAAACCTGGATTTCTTTTGGGGAAATTAAAACTTAAGTAGTTGTGAGATAATTAAATGAAACACTCATTAAGTTCACCTAAACTCAGCCGTCAGAGGAAGTGCAACGCTTCCATTGTAAACATTTCCTGCATTTAAATGAATTTAATAGTAGAGGATCCAAAATAATCTTTCTGGCAATTTCCACTTCCTTTTAAAATCCATAACATCGTAAAAAAAAATGTCTTCAGCACTTTATCCTGTACATTCCCAAAGAAACTAATTACATCATTATTCCTGCACAAAATAACGTTCATCATAATGGGAAACCTTGTTCTTCCTCACACTAGAAATATTTTAGGGATTACCTCAATAGTAACATGAGCATCCTTCCTCTTCTCTCTTCTCTCTTTCCTCTCTTATGGTGGTCAGGCAGTTTGCATGCTGGGAAAGCTTGAGGCGTTGACGGATGTCTAAGGCAGCCAATGAACGGAGAGCAACGACACACTTCCACCTTAGAAGGAAGAAGGAGCCAAATGCAAACTGGCCGACCTGCCTGCCGAAGGTCGATGCAGGCTACAGATGGCCGTTCACAGAACGTTCAGTGTCGTTGTGGGGGAGCTAGCTTTGCCTCCAAGTGGCGTGTAATAGACTTGGGGGGGGCGGGGGAGGGTGTTGGAGCAGAGGTTGAATGTAGGAGTACCTATGATCAGGTAAGACTACTCGAAGGTCCAGACCTCCACACTGTGGATGTTGAAGTCCCGCTGGGCGGAGAGGGGCTGGTTGTTGAAGGTGGCGCATTTGTTGGTGGTGCCTCGGTACAGCTCAGCGTCCAGCCACAGACCCATCTGACCACTGCAGAGGGGAGAGAGGAAATGAACTGATGGTAAACCCCAAAAAAAACAGAGTGAAATAGCTAGTGATTTGCTTCTTACCCTCCTCCTCCCATCTGCAGAGAATCAATATTTCCCTTCACAAAGTAAGAATTCTCGCCCGTCCAGCGGTACACCTGAAAATGAGAGCAAACAATTTATGTTAACGCTATTAAAATAATGAGACCTCATACCTAAATTGAGATTATAAACAATGGTAAGGCAAACCTTGATTTCAGGACAGAAGCTGAAGAGGAACGTCTCTCCTGTGCCGTAGCAATGTTCGCTCATTTTGAACGGATGACTTGAGAAAGCCCCAAATATCTGTGATAAAGAGGCAGATTCAGTTGATTTTTTAGGGGGGGATTACGTTGTGAAATATGATGACTGACATGAGTGGGACAAAAATACTCTGTATTGAAGCCTTATTATGTAAAAATCTTAAAATATCACTACCTCTACATTTCTTTTGCCACCTGTGTATCAACTACTTATGATACAAGGCCATTTTCTTTGACTGTTATTTACCTCCTGTATTCTCAGCCAGTGTGGCCGTATTCACGCACATACAGTACGACCCTTTGCACAGTTATCTACCTGGTTGTCCATATCTTTGATGACGAGCAGAACCGGACTCTCCACGTCTGCCAGGCTCCGGTACAGAGTCTTCAGGCTGGTCCCGTGCTTCACCGTGCTGTAGGCCAGTCTCCAGGGGTAGATCTGCACACGGGGCGGCAAGCGGCATGCAAGCTGGAGGGCAAACACATCATCAGATTAAGAAGCGTACGGATTAGTATCTTGCATATTTCGTCATTTCAGAATCTGGATTTATTTTATGTGGTTAAAAGTATTATATACCTTCTCCATGTGCGTGTCCTGCAGCAGGTCACTGGCCTCACTGAGTATGGGAAGTGCATCCACTGATAGTTCTGCATCACAGCTGGTGAAACTCTGCCTGCGCTTAGCCTCGTCAATGGTGATGATCTGGGATGGAAACAAGCATATAAAAAGGAATTCAACGACAAAGTCGCATCAGGAAAATGTACAGCGTTACAGCAAAAGTGATACAGGAGATAAAAGGCAAGCAATATGCTGGCGGATTTGGCACCCCCCCTATAACTTTTTTTAAGGATATTCATACTGTCACCAACATCAAACTGGTGTTTGCTGTTCACCTATAGTTCGTGCACACAAAAGCATTTTACTCTGGGCTAATCAGGTGAAAAACTGGAGAAACTCTCCCTCTCCTGACAGTATCGGTCTCATGCAGTGCGTGATCCAGTAATGAGTGACCCGACAGTAAAGAATAAACATATTTCGAAGTAGTTTAGCTAGTTCCAGAGGTAGATAATATTGCTAAGTGTGTGTTTGGTGGAGGTGATCTGGGAGAGCTGCTGTTCTCCGTCAGCAGAATCTGATCCTGATCTCTGATCTCTCTCTCGAGTCCGATTATACTTCACTCGCCTTTATGTCCATTTCCATCAGATCTAGATAGCATTAGCTAATGATGTGACTGCCTGCCTATCAAGGGACACCTAAACAATAAGCGTTGGTAGGCAGCCGGGTGTTTCGTCAAAGCATTATGCATTTGTTTATATGTTTACTAACTAAATTAAATCAAATCAATGTGTGATGTGAATAGAAGACAAGGGTGCTGCCTCCTTTTTGGCTGAGCTTACCTCCCAACTGCAAGAAGCTTCCTCACTGAAGAAGTTGTCGATCATGTCCAGCTCATCTTTCTCCACCAAAATAAAGCCTTGCTCTCGAGCCTCCTTCCCGTACACATCCGGAGACCACTGCACGAAAAATGCATACAGATGGTCCACCCTAAAACACACACAGCATATATTAGATGGGTTAAATACACACTCCTATCTTAAATACATTGTAGTTTAAGACATTCTTTCATCTATTATCGCCTCACCTTTCTTGTGGCACAGCGAACCAGTACTCCGGCTGTTTACCCCGGCCCCCAAATGAGTGGGCGGGACTAGAAGTCATTGCGGTGGCAAAGGACTTCCTCATTGGCTTTCCCACTTTGAAGCACAGGAACATTGGGGGGATTTTACTCTTCTCCTTGGATGAGAAGAGCATGTCTATAGAGAATGGGGAAATACAAAAGTAGAGAAAGAGTTTAATTTGACACTCCTAAATGTTATTGTAGTCCCTATCATAGCCCACATGGAGGCGCCAAAGTCAGCTGGAGGACACATCAGGAGAGTATATATTCCCCTTTTTTTCATGCTTTCTTAGTTTGATATTCAATAAACACACACCATACAGAACAATATCTTTATGTCAACACACACAAAACAAATAAGAATATATTTAAATGAAAACTAAATATAAATAGATTAATTAAAGACAGTACCAATGGTATGAAATAATTAAAAAAATGTATATATTACCTTCTATTGGAGCATGCATCCTCTCCAGCAGCCATGTCTTCACTTCTGCCTCGTAGCTTTTCTTGCGTATCTCCTCCTCGCTGAGCTCAGCGCCCCCTGCTGGTCTGACAGGGCTTTGTCTCTTAGGACTCGAGCCCCCACAAACCTCTGAAGCCTCCTTCAGACTCAGTTTACTGTTTTGGTCCACTGGTGCTTCGATTATTTCATAATGTGCACTGTTTAGCAGCTCTTCTATCCCTTTAGGTTGTATATATTTGGTTTCCTTTTGGTTTGTAGGATTATCCAGCAAGCTACCCTGTTTTTCAGTCTCTAAAGAGGATTGTGTTGACTCTCCCTCCTCAATGGAGCTGGTCTGAGCGACGCCTTCATCCTCGTCATCGTCCAGCTTCACTTTAGTTTTACCACCAATCGACTTGTCCTTAAAGTCTTCCCGGCCTGAGCAGCTTGGTCCTAGTTCCTGTTGGTCCGTGCTGAGGATGCTGGGAGTTTTGGAGGATGTCGCCTCCACCTCTTCAGCGCTCGCGTTCACAGTCGGCTCCAACTCAGTGAAGCCTTCGTCTGATGGAGACTTCTCCGTCGGATCACCCTCTGTGCTCACTGGTATGAAGACGATAAACAGGTCTTTGTTGAACATTAAGCCATTTTTAGAAAGACATTTTATTTCAATACATCTGCACACTTTTATTTGAGATGTATTGTTTGTAGTGTCTTGTTGATGTTTTATGTACAGTACATTTCTCCCATGCCCCCAAATGAAATTCGACAATGGCAGAAAACAGTTAAAAAAAAGTAGGAATAGAAAATATTGATCCCTTAGGATTTATCATCATTTGTCAGTAAACCAATAAATACTTTATGTGTTCAAATGTATGTCAAAGGGAAATCTAGATACTCAAGTCTAAATTCCCAAGCCAATTTAATTCATATAAACCAGCAAAGCACCATAATAAATGTTGGTTGTGGAGAGTAAAACAGATACAAGTTAAAAGTTATAACCCAGAGTGACCACCGTTTTAAAGGAACTTTTTTCTCTCTCTTTGTACTCGCTACAGCAGCTAAACTGTGGACATTTCATGACATGATGTTACCAGTTTCTGAGAGGGTTGATTCGATGTCATCCAACACGATTGGTCGCTTGGGATCAAGAGCCTCGTAGCGGCTGAAGGGGTTCAGATCTCGCTCCGAGGGCAGTTGCTCCCACTCTCCGGGCCTGTACACAGGACACAAATCCTGGGGTAGGTCTCTGTGGGGTCACGGGGCATCACACATACCGCACCGCAAACCAGGGTGAAATGAAAAAGGGAAAACAAAAAAGGAAAAGTCCAAACAGAAAATTATGAATGACAAGAATGATGCAAAACAAAACAACATGTGATGTGAAACGATCAAAGCACAATAGAAGTAAATCAAAAGTAAAGAGATAAATGAGAAACAAAACAACAATTCAATGAAAAAACTACAAAACTATTGACATATGAGACTTTGAGTCCAACGTGAAAAGTGTTTTGAATGGAGAAGAGGAAAAGGGTTTACACAAACGGTAGTATTATTGAGAGTAAAAAGAAGAATAGAAACTGGAAGACAGGAACAACAGAGCATGAATCTGAGCAGAGGACTGTAAGAAGAACATTTAGAGAAGAGGGAAGCTAGAAAACGAGGCGGTCTGAAGCGCTTACGATGGCAGAGCGTCTTTGAGCTTCATGCGCGACACGTCATCGTACAGCGCCACGGAGACGACCTCCTGCATGGGGCAGATCAGGCCGTACTCCTCGCAGCCGTGCTCGATCACCAGGGGGTCCGACTTGTGGGGGTCAAACATGATGTTGTTGGGGGTCACAATCAGCACGCCGCCCACCACTCCCTGCACCGAAGACATAACACATGAGGGCACTGCAACCACATCTGAATCAGAGAGGGGTACCAGCTGATTCTTCTCTAAACATCAGAATATTCTCAGGAACAGTGTTTCAGCATTCTCTTGAATTATTACCTGCCACTGTCACATGTTCTAGGCTTCTTACCATGCCATCTGTGAAATATTTGCAGCTCATCTTGATGAATTTAACGGTTGCCGGGCTCTCGTCCTCTGAGTTTGGGGAGAGATCATGCCGGAGGGACTTTGCTGACTTGCCGTTTGAAATGCCATCCTGAAGGAAGTTAAAAGGACAGACCTTAATGTCGTGCTTGAATTCAGTACAGCTTGTTTTTTTGTGTTTAATCAATGTGTGTTTTCAGCTTTCGTCAACCTTTGACCTTTACGGTTCAGATTCAGAGGTGTCAGGCCATCACAGCGTTTAGCTCTTGGTATCACTGTAGTGTCCAGAAACAGACTGTTTGACTTGTCTGTCAGATGATGATTTATTTAAATGACCTACATGTCAAAACTATACATGGAGAAGCAGTGTTTAGTTTTAATGCACCATATATATTGAGCAAACTCATAAAAACAGCAGGTACGCTGCTGCTTTTAAATTAAGGTTCATGACTTTTCTGTTTGATTAAAATCAAATAATATTTATTTTCTGACTTGAAAACAAACAGAAACTTGCTATGTTATCTAATAAACCAATGTGTTAATCCTGAAGTACTTGGTGGAAGACACACTATTACTTCTACTTCTAGTACTCTAGTTAAGTAGAAAGAAGTAAGTGAAGTATTTTTTGTGGCCTTTTTTTGTGAACGTTTTATAGTCATCATTTAAATAGAAAGCATAAGAAATTGGTCCCTTAATGGCTAATTTAAACTGATTGTAGTCTGCACAACATAATGAATCACTTTCTACTTACATGTGATGCTTTCTCTGATAAGCCATTTCTGAAGGCGGGATCAGTGGAACTCGAGGACTTCAGCTCTGTTTCTGATTGGCTCACATCGGGGACGAACAGCTTCTGTAATGATGATGACGAGGGACAGCAGACGGTGAGCCAGTCTTAGCAACAATAAGGCAGATGTTCATGTTACTGTGGAGGGTCTCACCTGCCCGGGGTACACACTGCGGGAGAAGAGCTTGTTCAGCTGGACCAGGTTGTTCGGGGTGACGTTGAAATTGAGTGCAATGCTGTTGAGGGAATCATTAGCTCCCACCTGTAACAAGATATACAGATCGTCAAAATATAACCTTTCTGTTAATAAGTCAGTGTGTTATTTTGATGAGCTTTCACTGTTTTACTCACAGTGAACTCCACTGTCCCTGGTGGCCTCTGCTTTTCCTTCTTTGCCCGATTGGTACTTTTACAGCCATTTTCTAAAAGAGAGAAATGAAAACAGTATTGTAAAGACTAACGACAAATGCAAACAGATGTCATATGAGGAAAACATCGAATTATTCCTTCAGGCAATTCATATATGGTTTCATTCCGTCCATCTTATACAGTGGTTGCTGGCATATAGATTTAAGTTACCACAACAAACAGTAAAAGGAGGGTAAAGAAAACCCACTAGAGATGACTCCCAAGTATCCCGTGGTTTACTGCTTTTTAAGTCAATACCAGTGCTTGTTTTTCCTCTATCATTATCAGGTCTAAAAACACTGGCCCACACATGCTGAGGCAGTTATCAAACTCACACACGCACACACAATTTGACCCTTGTAGTAGACAAGCCCCACAGTCAGCATTTTCTTCTCGCCAAGAACACAGAAGCTATTAGCGCACCACTCCCTGAATGCTAAATTACCCTGCTGCTCCACCATGGACACAGAGAGCATGACTAAGCACGAGACAGTGAGACTCCAGCCCCTCTTCACTTTAAAGACCCCTGTCATTTTTATGAACACTGTCGCTTATTTATTACATTCAAACTGTGACTGGTAATTTGCTATGACTCATTTCAGGCTATGGCCTTTTTCCGGAAAGCCCATCTAGTTTAACGCGTTCCGTTTCATTTGTCTGTTATTTGCTAAACATTTTATTGAATGGGCTGCAGCCAACAATGTTGTGGTCTAATTGAAACAAATACAGCAGTTTACACAGCTGGCTCGCCTGCTCAAACATGACTGAAGTCCATTATCACTGTCAACATGAAGGAGTCAGTAACAGTTTGTGGTACAAACAAAACCAGCAACATGATAGCATGCATGATGTAGCACACACTGACAAAAGGCAAGACAAAATGCAAGTTAGATTAGGTCCAGTGTTTGGCAAATATGAAGTTATACTGTGTTCGGACAATTAGCTTATACAGACATTGATACATTACAAATATTAATTCTCAATGTCCTCATTTATTTTTGGATGCAATGACAGTTGAGTCATGAAAAATAAATGATAAAAGCTCACCTAAAAGATATTTTGAAACTAAACGAGAAAAAAAAAAGGAAATATAAAAAGGTAATAATATATAAGAGCTAATGATTTTTTCCCTGTCCCTTAACAAAAAAGGGAAAATTGCACTGATCTGCAAAACAACATGTGCGGATTAACGCTGTAATGTAATTCAAGTTCAATAGCCTAGTGATATGATCCAGTCACTATCAAATTATATGAGTGGTCTAGTACAGCAATGCTTCTCTTTTGAAAGCTCAAAAGATTACTTTTTAACATTTAAGAGTCATATAAATAGCAAAGATGGTAGAGCTCTCAGTTGGATTTGAAGTAACAGAAATGAAAGGCATAGTAGCATTTCAACTTTACATTTAAACTAGCACCACTTCTCAGTACTCACACTCTTTGTGAGTACTGCGCCCTAAATGTCATCATCAACTGTAAAAAACTACAGGATAAAAGGTTATGCAACTTCCTGTTTAAAACTGCTGAGGTTGTTCTGAACAGAGATGACCCTTATGTTGCATACCACTAAACAGAACAGGGGAATACAACTCACACTAACAGTAGGCTAGTACCACGAGTTGAGATATTGCTTGTGTATAAACATTGGAATTTACAGCGGGCAACCAAAACAATTGAGCTAAGACAAAAACCCTGAATCCTTCTGTAGCAGTAGGGATATTTGGTTTCACCTTGGTGGGTGTAAGCATTACCCAGTAAAGTTTGCCTAAAACCAAAACTTCTGTAGATGAGAATTCCTTTGTTTTACAGGGCAAGAACTAAACGACAAAGAGCAAATCTGTCTTATTATACTGAAAGGGGCAACATAAGTCTTCTTTCTGCTTCATGTTGCATCAACCGTGTACAGAAGATACCCGAGCACCCCCAAGCAAAGCTGCCCCAGTTTTCCAGGTTTTTTGGATTTCGTAGCAGGTCTTACCCGGGCAGGCCGGTGGCTTCGATGTTATTCTCTGCAGGTCCGTTGTTTTGTGCGGGTCGCCCTCATTTGGGATGTCTGGACAGGAAATGATGGTGGGATTCTGATCAGTCACGCTTTTCTCTGATTGGCTCTGCTTGAGCTGTCTCCGCCTCTTCAGCCTGATGTGGATGCAAGACAAACAACATTATTTATTGTAAGTAAGATAAAGAAAGCACAGGAGCTAAAATGGCTTTTAAATCAGATATGGTATAACTTATTCCATAATAACTCGGATAATGTTGCGATCAATATACGGTATATATGAACATATACAGTATAGTGTAGACTACACAGGAGTTGAACTGGAGAAGAAAATGGAAACATGACCATTCAAATGTTTATGAAACTTGGTGTAAGGGGGAAAAGAAGAACCCTATTATTAATATTTAGGACTTTTGTTAGCATTGCGAGAAAGGGAATGGCCTTGGCGGATGTCTGCCCTCTTTGAATGCCCTCCTAGTGATCCAATGTCATCAAAACTTTCCGTTATGCGAATTCAGACCTTCTTTCCAGGTGCTGCTTTCGTGCTCAAAGTTATTGGATTGAGCTTTAACCTTTCCCTCTCAACTTTGCTGTGTCAGCAGTATTATCCTCTCAGACGGTCCTTTCCCCCCCCGTTTAATGATTGATAGGTGAGGCAGTGAGGCAGTGATGTAATGGCATCTCCAGCCCCCACTGAGGTTCAATAAGGGGGAAATCATCGCAGTGGAACCATGAGTTGGTGGAGCACTTAGCGATAGTGTACGATCTACAGAACGAGCCCAGCTGAATTCTTAAGTGTGCCTATGAGTATGTTAAAAAAATATAAATTGATTTATCCGAAGCTTTTGGTGATAGGGGCAGTGTTGCCCTGCAAAACCCTTGGAAAATGCAAAGAGAAGCATTTCAAATGTTCAAGTGCCCTAATGGGAAGGCAGGAGTGGGTCGATAAGGCTGCTGACGGAGTTCAGGCCTCTCCCAGAGCCTCGGGTCTGTGACGCAGCGAACATCTGGTGGTGAACTCAAAAATCTGTCTGAACAGCACCGTCTGTTTCACTCTGGGGGATTCACAGAGCATTGAGCCTTCATATTAGCGTTCCACTTTCCTCTCTCCCCTCTAATCTTAAATGTGTAACCAGTGTATTAACATAATGGCAGAGAAAGCACAGTATTGTGAGTAAAAAGCAAAAACAAACATCAAATACAAATATGAACTAATTCCATAAATACTCACACCCCTTTAGTAAATATGCACATTGGCAACAATCATTTATGTTTTTGCAATATGGATGTTCACATGATCTGAGACTAGTGTTGTTGTTTTGGTTACCTTTCAATCAATTTAAAGTCTAATTATTGTTTTTATGTTTGGTACACGTGTAGTTTTCACGTGATATTATTATTGAATGCAAGGTAGATGTTGCAATTTTATTTTATTTGAATATACAGCCCAGGGAGAGTAGTTGTTGCTAGCATGGATTAAAAAAGACCCAATACATTTGGCCTCCGCTACTACAACAAATATTATTAATTTTTTAAGAAATTCCGGATTTGCTTGGTCGTTATGTTGTCTATTGTTTAACTTGTTTTGCTCGAAAACAATGGTATGGAAATACGTTTTGCTTCAGGATTTTTCTGTACAGCCACACACATTTAACCCCTAATTTTCTAGAGGCTTCTTCAAAGCGTTGTGTTATTTTTCTCTACAGCCATTAAGCTGTGAGGAGTGAAATCACCACGACGACCGCTAATTCATGCGAGTGTCTCTCTATGGACGCTGTGGAGCTCGTTCAGAGTTGCAATGAGCTTCAATCTCAAGTGTGTGTGCACAGCCTGCAATAAGCAAATGTAAAGATGTGTTGAAGGACTGATCTTATTTTTAACATTTTGTTGTGTGTAATTTTAAAGGGGTTCATTTTCTACCTAAATTAGATCAGGTTGGTATAATTATTCCAACTTTAACATTAAAGAGTTGTTTTTCTTTTGTGCAGTTCTAACGGCATGAATACCGTTCCACTGTCCTAAAACAATATAACATGAAAAAGTCTATAATGGGTAAACAATACTTGTTATGGCATGTGTAAGCTCAACATTGACCCTTCCTCCATTGGTCAGGAAGTGAGGCAGCATATGGTGCAAAAAGCAGCCGAGCTACATGTTATAGAGGGGTCGTGTTGAGAGATAAGGCCGATTTTACTTCCTGAAATGTTCACATTCTGTACACGCAGGCAAAACATCTATTTGTATGTAAAGCTGAGGAGGACTGTTCATATCTGCGGTTTCCATCCAGCACATTTCCACTGTTGTTTTGCAGCCACAGATATACACACTGCCTCTGCAGGAGAACCCCTCCTCTAACTCAGGTTAAAGCCTGCAATCCCATTAGGATCAATTGCACTGCTTACCTCGTTATTAGAGAGCAAGTGATATCTGATGCCTTCAAAATAATAGTTTGAATTTAAGACAATCTCATTAATAAAACACAAGACAAATTGCAGGTTTGTACCAGGCTGTCAGCATAGCTTGAACAAGTAACCTGAGACATAATAAGATAGAGAAAAAGGCCGTTAGGCTTCATTCTATCGTAGATCATTTATCACAAGCCAACATTGACTGGATGACTTCTGCTTATCCATAAATCAACTAATATATTCAGTTTTTGATACACTTTATATGTTGACTGTTCAACATCGGAGCCGTTATTTACATATAATCAATGTTCACCCATTTGAATTCATAAATCGAGACAAATCTTGTTTATGTTTCTCATTCTATAACGTAATGTTTTTGCAGACATTTAGCAGATTGCAGTGTGGTTTAACGTTCTTTAGACAGAGTAGTACACCACTTTATCTCTTTTATCCACTGTGACATTCATTCTCTAAATAGTGACGTCTAATCTGTGTTGACCTAAAAAAAATATCTCTGATCTTTAACCATAACCCCCCAATTTATTGTCAATCCATGCACCGTAGCCGTGACAATCCTCTTTCCACACATTTCCTGCTATCATGTTTCACAATGCTACCAAAATTCAATTTTACTGCCGACATCAACAATGTGGGTCAAGAAACTCTGACGCATGACTCGGATTATACAAGGCTGTGTCGGCTGGGTGCCGCTCACAGACAGGTGACTTAACTGTGCCGACACTTCATTAAGAAAAGGTTAGACTAATATATTAGTTAATGCACCTTTACAGCAGTTTGTCAAGGTACGCATGGCCGTGCGGCACAAAGCCGCACTGTCACTGAGGGGGACTAGTTCATACTGACATTTTGGACTTTAAACTTCAGCATGTGATATCTGGGCTGAGTCAAATAAAAAATATCACAACAGCAGAAATATTATTGTCCGTTTCAGCAAGGAAACATTTGATCATTTATTAACTTTTGAGCTAATGAGACGTCTGTTAACTGGAGAGCATTTAGGAAGAAACCTGACACTGTAATTGGTCTGTAATGTTAATAGAGAATAACAAATTACAGGATTTATTTGCAGCAGATAGGCAAAGATATTAAATTTAATGCATCTACAGTTCTAATTCTGCACATATATTTTCCAGTTATAATGATAGACTTTGAACAAATTGTAAAGCACTCGGGTAAATGTGTTATTCTTAAACAAAATGTACTTCATAAAACATACATTAAAAAGAAAGCACAGGAAACATGCAAAATGGTGTTTAGCTGCATGGAAAATACATAATTTGAATGCAAATAAATGACATCAAATAAAAACAAACATACACAGTCACCAAGGGGCCTTACCTGGCAAAATATCCCGGCTTCCTGTCTCTCTTTTCCATCAGTCCAGGGTGTTAAATCAGCATGCAGTCAGGGGCATCCATACAAACATCCACAGCATACTTTGGAAGATCACCTCTTCTTTCTTGTCCTGCAGAGAATTTAAACAGTGGGATTTGCAGGGAGCCTTCTCACTCAACTCACTACAAGGCAAACACCATATAAATGATACTGAATCCTCATCAGCCTAAGTGGAGGGCGATGAAAGCATCCTATAACAAGCATGTCAGGCCACTCAGCTGACCAACAGACGGAATGGAAAATGCATCACTGTGCTGCAGAGGGAAGACACATCTGCTACTTGTTAACACTGCCTCAGTAAACATGCGTTTTATTATGTAATTATGCTTCTGGAATCCAGTAGATACAAACATGCAGCATAAAGCGAGAAACGAAACAATCGATAACACGCATGGCGCACACCGTGAACAACAAGAAAAGCATTAGCAGTTCACCTATGTGCAGCCTCAAATAGATATATAACATGTAAATGGCTATAGAGGAAATGCTAATTTGAAGCAACGGTTACACCCCACCTAGCTACATTCTTCAGTGTAGCAGCTCGCTCAATGGGAATTCCTGTTGACCAGATTTCAGCCTCTTCTTAAGGTGCAGCGGCAAACGACAGATATCCTGTTGTGCTAATGTTAAAGCAAGATGTGCGACCGTCAGGTTTAAGCAAACAAGCACTGTGAACAAGGTTCACCTTTCCAGCTGATTTAACAGCTGATGCTAACTGGCGAGCTAGCTACGTTGTTTACAGACAATAGCAACCTGGTGGAGATGGTAAGGATATTTTTATTCGGTCCAGGCGCTAACGCTTCCTCTTAAAATATGGTATTCCTATCCATGCAACCTGGCCTTACGCTGAAGCTCAACATGTATGTACAACAACGCATTTAAACGTTCAATTAGACAGAAAAACAGGTAGCCAAAATGCCCACATAACGTTACCTTGCGTGCATCCTCCACCTCCACCAGCTTAATATCAAAATGAAGCCTTCCTTAACTACGCCCTCTGGTGTCTTGTGCGCTGTATAAACATTAGCTCAACACAAGCCTGACTTTACTAACAGCTAGGTCTAGCTCAATTCCAGGTAATACGTTTACGTCTTAAATTAGCGTAGGTGAGATGTATTAAAGAGTGTTGGTCGATATACAAGGTCTAGATAAGCGTCCACAAACAATATTGGAAACGTATTAAACGGAACGAGGTTTAAAAATAAAAATATCTTTTCGTTTCACAACGGTCCCTGGTGGTCTAGTGGTTAGGATTCGGCGCTCTCACCGCCGCGGCCCGGGTTCGATTCCCGGTCAGGGAACTACCCTTTTTTCTCGGACTAAATTCCGTTTACCTTTCAAGAAATGTTTGCGGAGCACATGGAGCTTATCTGACCAAATAACAGTTCCTACAGTTAAATATACCTCAGCTTAACCGATATGCATGGACTCCTGAGGCACTATCAGCTGTATTACTGAAGTCAAGTAAATTATTATATCAATAGCACCAATCATGCATTTACCCATACAGTGCAATTAATCACTTAACCCTCCTGTTATCCTTGGGGTCAATTTGACCCCATTCAATGTTTTATGTATCTAAAAAAATGGTTCACATTTAATTTTTTGCTTAGTATTTCGTGACTTTTCCTAATTTAGTGAGGACTAATGGGAACATGAAAATGAACATGAAGATCTTTTTTAAATGTCCTGTACGCACTTTGTACGCATCGGTGTTCCTTGGGGTCAATTTGACCCCAGGCTGTTTTCAACATTTTACACATATTTGTGTTGATTGTGTAGGATGATATTGAGGTGACTATTGCATGCAAATGTATCATTGTAAAAAAAAACTACCCTCTGCTTTAGTTATTGGTCCTTTAACAACTTCAAAAATATCTTACTTTAACATTTTATTTCAGTCAGTGAGATTTTATGGTGATATATGTATTTTTGATAGTCACATAATAGGAATTCTGGATGTATAAAGGGGTCTGTGGGGGGGAAGGTCGGGGTAATGTTTTATTTAAATGGTTATTTAGGTAGTCAACTAAGATACCTAAAGCACCATAGACATACATTTTGGTTAAAATTTGGAATATGATCATTGTCTTAAGTTTTAAACTACTGGGGTCAAATTGACCCCAGAGGATAAAGGTTGTAAAGTAAATCTGAGGATAACAGGAGGGTTAAGGTAAGTACAGTTATTATTTAGTGGCCATTACAGTAAAATAGCAATATCCATGTTTGTTTTAATAGCGCGGTTTCACAAAGTTTCCTGATCCTGCACGAAGCTTTACAGATGTACGCTTCAAGAGACAAAATGTGCACTACCAAATGGTGGCGCTGGCTGTTAAAGGGTTAAACGATATGCATGGACTCCTGAGGCACTATCGGTGAATTTTTATATCAATCACTTTAAGGTAAATTAAGTTATTATTTAGTGTAAAAAAGCTTAGTACAATGCTTTACAGATGCAATGTAAATGCACACTTAGGTGTATTAGTATCACATTGTTTAGTTTTTTTGTTAGATATTGGTTTATACTTTCTGGTTTTTGTAATGCATCTGAACATTTAAAAATGTTAAATATATTTTTTAAATGTATTCGTTTTTTTTTGTTTACTTTTAGATAGCTTTCGAATCATCATGTGACCTCTTGGAAGATGAGATAGTCCACTTGACTTTGCCTGACCTGAGATAACGATGAATACCGCATGGTGGCGACAATTCACAACAAATAGTAGCCTGCTAGAAACAGATGTCTGCATCATTTTATTTTTATTAGGTAGATTATAGATAGATCATATACATTGTACATGAAATTGATAACATAACCAAACAGTGTCTAATATAAGAGCTTAGTAACTTAAGCTAAATTAGTCATTTTTTGAGTACATTTATCTTGCAAGTTAAAAAGAAGATTCCAGATTGATTTCTTAATTTAGCCTATACACAGAAATACAAGGTAAATAATATTGCACCACCAACATGTGTTACATTAATGCAAATGTTCTTAGATGTAAATGTGATGTAGTGATGATTTCCTGTCACTTCTTCCAATAAATCTGAATTCAACTGAACCTGTTAGAGAGCAATTAGCCTGAGATAGTGTGTTTGTGGAGCTTTAGTCCCATAGAGCTGGCTGAGGTGGGGAAAGACTGAGACCCCAGCTCTGATTGGACGAGGCAGAGTTAACCAGTTCCTGGCTGGCTATGTATCTTGGCAGTGATTTTGACAGTCGCTATCATTGTGAGAGAGGAGATAAGTTGTCTTAGGGATCGCCATGGCGCCGGTGTGTCCCTCCTCCGTCCTGCTCAGACTCTCACTGACCCCCTCCTCTCCCCTGCCCTACTTGGAGCAAAGGATTGTGGGGGACTGTTTGGTTGAAAGCAGGGTTTGTGTTGGCAAGGGCCCCGGGGCTCTGGGTATCATCGTCCCCTTTCAAACCATCAAAACCTTCATGTGACTTAGCAGTAGGACAGCCATGACCACATCCTAAATGTTGCTGTTCCCCTATCTCATGCTCTTGGTTCCCTTTCCTTATTTCTAATACTTCCTACAAGTTTTATAGGGCAAAATCGTCCTTGATGTTCTGCTTTGTCTTCCTGAAAGCACAGATAACGCTTCCAAAGCTTTCGGAAATCAGTTTAATGCACACAAAGTATAGTAGTTTCAGAGTTTTAAGCACTGGGATTTTTAACCTGGTTAAATAAAGGCTACAAACAAACAAACTAAAAAAAGCCAAGGATGAGCTTGAGTAAAGGTTTTACTCTTTACTGTTTGATGTTTTCAAGATGGGATACTGAGACAGGGCTATAATAACAGCCTTAGTCCATCAAACCTATAGCATCAGGGTCTCTCTGTCGTATAAGATCTGAACAGCATGCAGATGGTTTCATTTCAGACTATATTATAATTATTTTACAGTAGCCTACGGTCCCTTCCCGGCCCACAATCTTCTAGCATGAGCTTTACAGAGATTGTTTATTTTGTTATTATTGCTAACAAACACACACACAGGAATTTAGAGGATGAGCAGAAGAAGGAACAAAAGGAAAGATTTTCAGGTCATAGTGTATCTTTGGCTGTACCACCCAGAATTCCTGTGTTATTGTTTGTGCCAACTTTTGTACCATTACATTTTTATTATCACATTTCAATTGTGTATTCAGACTGTCACTAGCAGCACCTAAAATCATTGTCATTGTGTGCCTTGTTTTGCCAAGTCAGCACAAACGTAGATACCATCTTGCATATCTTTCTAAACTGTTGTAGTCACAAAGGTCTGACCCAGCACAGACCTTGGAGATATTTCAAATAATTTTACTCGGACGTCATACACTTCTAGCTTAGACTACAACTACTGATAACTTCAAGTACACTGTGGCAGCAGGAAGCGGCAAAACCTAAACACTGAAAAAGGATATGTCACACAAAGGATAATCTATAGGTATTAGGAGTCGTAATTCAACATAATGAACCCAACCTGTGATCTATAGCTATTTGACAAAGTTTTCCATCAGACAGTGTTTTATCTGTTTGTTCATGTTTACAAGTAAACCTACTGAGAGATTGTTGTACAATAAACCAATTAGGACATGAATTATTTGAAAGACAGTTGTTTTTACCATCAGGATTGAGAGTCCCACTTAAGAACCTCGACAGCTAACAACTGTGACGGATGTGACTACATAGTTTAGTGAGTCAACTCACAAGCTAATGTTAGCTTGGTTAAACAACTAGCTTAACTGAAGTGTAGCATATAGCCCATGCTACAATTGTCGTTTTCACACTTTTTAATTTTGCATTTTTAAAAAGAAAAACAGGACATTTTAGGGCATTTTATTTTGTCTGTTCAACAGAGCCAGGCTAACTGCTTCCGCCTGTTAGCATTCTTTGTGCTAAGCTTATTTAACTGGCACTGATTGTAGCTTGTTATCATACAGATAACAGGACTGTAAGTGACTGGAGCTAGGCAGCAGTGACTAAGAACTCAGAAATCTAGAAAACTTTGATATGACCCGGTTAAGATGAGATGGAGAAACATTTATCACTCCTTTGGTGGTCTAAAAGGGTCCAGAGTGAGTGAAAGACCACCTTATAGGTTACCATGGGGTTAATGACCACACACACACACACACACACACACACACACACACACACACACACACACACACATACACACACACACACACACACACACACACACACACACACAGTCAGTTGTTGAAGACGGAGAGGGGATGGAAAGTGATGGAGACGTGGCTTGAAACAGCTCCATACTGTATACCATCCAGTGCCACTACACACACTGTCAATCTGCCAAATCAGCTGAGGCACTGCAGCCATGACCTTTGACCCAGGAACTGAACGGAGGGGGAAAAGGTTATCAATGTTGGGGATTTTTCGTTCTTAAAGCCAAATGTCCAGACAGTGCAGGAGCCGCACCTCAAGGAAGGAGCAGACGGTGTCGGAAAACGGAGAGATGGACATTAAGCACTATATCATACTCACTCAAATTCATACAGACAAACACACACCCTCTCATCAGTGTTTTTGATCACATGACCATGGTAGGGGAGCAAACAGTGCATGGGTGTTTACCCTGCTTATCAGTGGTGTTGTAACAAGTGGAGAAACACACAGGCTGACCT